AAAAAAAACTTTTACATTTGAAATGTTACCAACAAAACAAAACAAAAACAATTATAAAAAAAAAAAATCATACAAAACAAAAAAAGAAGAAGAAAAGGAAAAAAATCAAAGGGAACGATTTTGGTTTATAATAATTAACTGAAGGGCCAAACTTTCCCAAAAAGTTAACATTTTATTTTAAATCAAGAAAAAAATGCCCTAGACAGACAGCATTCAATAACAGACCGGGAAAATCCTAACAGAGACGTGTAGAAACAAGTTACACATAATGCAGATGATCTTGATGGACAAAAGACTTTCTAGAGAATAGGAAGAGGCATGGCAATGCAGGGCACATGAAAACACTCATGTCATTACAATGATAAAATGTTGTAAGTTTAGGACTCTTCTTAGGTCATCATCTATACGTTGAGTTGTTTATGATGTAACAAATTAAAACATATATGTATGCATACACACACACACACACATGTGCGTTGGTACACATGCATGCACACACACACTCACACACTTAAAATTATGTACCATTTTGACAAAGAAGGTTGGCTTCAGTGCATCGCACTACCATCTTTTGGAATATTATGCAGTGAGACCCGAGTCTTATCTATAGTGTGACTCTGTATTACTGCCCAAAAGAAGGGATTATAAAAACAGCAAATCTTTCACCCTGTAAACTGAACCCTAGTACTGGAGGATCGTTAATGTATTAAATGAATTCACTAACCTCTAATCAGTGGTGCAGTAAGATCAAATGGCCTCTCAAAAACAATACTAAAGGGTTCAATAGAGTAGAAGAGGAGAATAGGAAGACGAACAAAGACCTGGATACAGAAGCTGATTGACTGGACAAGCCATAGGCAAGAAACCATGAAGTCCATCACATATGAACATTAAAGGTAGAAGGAGCTGATCAGACGGTAAACAGCCAACGGGTGACCCAATGACATGCAGTGTTATGGGATGATGATGAACCTCTAAGACATAAATATCTAACAATTAAATCACTGCTGATTGGTCCCCCTGTGCATCTGCCTCAAGCGTGATGACGCCTTTCTAGTCTTTCCAGCAGACCAAAAGAGTTGGAATATGTTATTTTCTTTCTTTGTCAACTTTTTGAAAGCCTTCTCTTGCATGGTTAGTTTAGGGTCCTGGATTTTCAAATCACTTATAGAATATCTCTTTTGTCATCAATTCACTGGCTGTAGGCTGTCAATCAAAAATTGTTAGCCATCAGTGAAGGCTACAGTAGTGCAGGTGCTAAACAAATGCTTGTCTTATATTTAACAGTACCAATTATGTATCATTAACATTTGTATTTCTATTTCTCTTTTATTCCTACTATTATATATTAACAATACATTTTATTCTTAGCATCTATTTTTTGAGCCTTTGTTTATTTTATTTTATTTCATTCATTCAAATCAAATTTTTTTTAAACGTTGCTCACGTCATCCCTTAGAGATTTAAAAATACATTCCTCTTTGCTACTGTGGTGTAGTTCATTACTTGTTCGAAAAAGGCCGCTAGTTGAAACATTGTTTTGTGTTGTTTTGTGCACGTTTTTCTGCTTTCCTATTTCATTAGGATTTTTAGATACATTTCAGTGGAATTTCTGTGTAAGGGGTATTATGGTCATTTGTCCTGTATAAGGGGTATTATGGTCATTTGTCCTGTGGAAGGGGTATTATGGTAATTTGTCCTGTGTAAGGGGTATTATGGTAATTTGTCCCGTGTAAGGGGTAATATGGTCATTTGTCCCATGTAAGGGGTATTATGGTAATTTGTCCAGTGTAAGGGGTATTATGGTCATTTGTCCTGTGTAAGGGGTATTATGGTAATTTGTCCTGTGTAAGGGGTATTATGGTAATTTGTCCCGTGTAAGGGGTATTATGGTCATTTGTCCTGTGTAAGGGGTATTATGGTCATTTGTCCTGTGTAAGGGGTATTATGGTCATTTGTCCCATGTAAGGGGTAATATGGTCATTTGTCCCGTGTAAGGGGTATTATGGTAATTTGTCCAGTGTAAGGGGTATTATGGTCATTTGTCCTGTGTAAGGGGTATTATGGTCATTTGTCCCGTGTAAGGGGTATTATGGTAATTTGTCCAGTGTAAGGGGTATTATGGTCATTTGTCCTGTGTAAGGGGTATTACAGTCATTTGTCCTGTGTAAGGGGTTTTATGGTCATCTGTTCTGTGTAAAGGGTATTATGGTCATCTGTTCTGTGTAAGTGGTATTATGGTCATCTGTTCTGTGTAAGGGGTATTACGGTCATTTGTCCTGCATAAGTGGAATTATGATCATGTATCCTGTGTAAGAGGTAATATGGTTATTTGTCCTGTGTAAATGAAATTATGATCATGTATCCTGTGTAAGGGGTGTTATGGTCATTTGTCCAGTGTAAGGGGTATTATGGTCATCTGTTCTGTGTAAAGGGTATTATGGTCATCTGTTCTGTGTAAGGGGTATTATGGTCATTTGTGTAGTGTAATTGATGTTTGGTAATCTGTTCAGATTAATGGGGTTTGTGGTCATCTGTCCTGGGTAATTTCTCAACCACTGCTAGTTTTCAAGCCTGGATAAGAAAGGGGGAGGGTTGGGCATGGAGCCAGCTCCCCCACCATGTAAAAATAACTTTACTACTGAAACTCTCAGGAAGAATAAAATGGAGAAATAGGTTGCAAGTCCTAGGTGACATATATTGGCACAACAAGATGATGTTGATGACATTCTGAGCAATGGATCTTGTGGTAATCTGTTCAGACTAATTAGTTTTAGAAAACATAAGTTCTGAGCAATTGGATTGTGGAATGAAATAAGATGTCTTACCTTGACACGTAACCATCCTTTTGTTTTCTTGCAAAAAATTATTTTGAGAACTCATTCGATGTTTTATGTAAACAGTATTTTTAATATTGCATTCTCTGACATTGTTCACTCATGAGAAAAAAAGCAAAATGAGTCTGCACATTATTCCAGCAGAACTCTCTGTTGTCCATTTTCTGCTTTGTGCTGCTAGTCATCATAGTTTAACAGATGATCCATTTCTGAGTTAGGGCACGCTCGGTTGCTCGGTAGGCTGTCATGTTATGGAGTCTCAGGATATCAGTAACTCCTTCAATCCATTTTCCTCTTGGTCATCCCCTAACTCTTTATGTTTCTACATTCAAGTTGTATGCTTTTATTTCAGGCATCATTTGATTCATTCTCGTTAATGGCAAAACCGTTTCAGTCTTAGTTTTTTTCAATGAATTCAATGAATTCAGTGTTGTTCCAAGAGTTCTTGTAATTTCTGTATCTCTCACATGATCTCTTCTAGTTTTATTCATAGTTTTTCACAAACTTTTCATTTCACAAGCTAGCAGAACTAAACATTTTCAGGGTCACTACACCCCAAAAAATTTTTTTTTACTTAGTGTTAGAAAAATTATTTTATAATGGTCACTTGTAGGGATATATGTTAATACATTTGCATACTTTAAAAAAAATAATGGTTGTCATGGAAAAAGCCGCCATCTTAGGGAAAAAAACAACATGTACCTAGAATCCTAAAATAAAAAAAAAAACATAGATTTTAAAAAATAAATAATGGATTCATAAACTATTGTCCTATGTAGAGGTACAGGTTTAGTTTATTTAGTTTAAAGATTTTTCTAAATATTTTGCGTAGAATTTTAAAATGTAGATTTGTTGAAAAAGTCAAAAAAATGTGGCATCATAGGATATTAATTAAATTAAAAAAAAAAAAAAACTTTCTAAAATCTACATTTAAATAAACAAGTCCCTATAATATTGTCTATGGAGCATCCATACCAAATTTCATGATTCTAGTCTTTATATTAGCTGAGATGTTAGGATTTTAACACACACAACAAACAGAAATATAGAGTTGTGAGAAAACTGACTTTTAAACTTATTTTTATCTTAAAAAGCTGCATGGGGTGGTGTCTTTAGTATTAACTTTTAATGCTAAATTGTTTACAAATGACATAAAATGTGTGTGTAATCTATTCTACAAATGACGAATTTTACAAAAACAGACACACTGAAAAAGTGATATTCTTGTCAGGAATTGGAAAAAATGCTGTGTAGTGACCCCTTAATGGCAAAACCATTTCAGTCTTTATTTTTTTCAATGAATTCAGTGTTGTTCCAAGAGTTCTTGTAATTTCTTCATAAATTATGATTTTTTGGAATGATTTATTGAGTAAATTATGCTTATATTAAAATAATAATATTGTAAACTGGTTTTGTTAAAATAAAGACACAAATATATTTGCAGTAATGAAATACAATTATTAAAATATTTTAATAAACTGAAGAGAATTAACATGTATATTGATAACTGAGAACACTGAATGAATTTATTACTGTACTGTCTTTCATCTATTTCCTATCTAAGGTTTCATCAGTCAAAATGTTAAAAGTAGCTTTTTTTTTTTTTTTTTTTTGCATTTAAAATGTTTTTAAATAATTATAGCTGTCAGGTAAGGATTTAGTATACAAACTTTAGACTTTTGCTAAAATTACTAAAATCTTATTCATACTGTTAACTGGATGGTTAAATGAAAAGAAGCACACACAAAAACTCTTTTGATTATAATATTCATATAAATTAACATGCAATATATTCTGTGCATAAAATTGCAAATAAATAAACATTCAATAACCATGACACAATTACAGAAAAAATATACACTTACAAATAATAATGCCTTTTCAAAAAATGTGGGTAAAATGTGAAATACCACGGTAAAAGCAATCTTAAATGGGATAATTTATGTTATGGAAACAATATCAAGGGTACCGAATTGCCAGTTTGAAAACAACACCAAGCTGTTTTTTTATATGGTGCTCAGAGAGTACAAAAGATGTGCAGCAAGTGGGATATAGTGACCAATTATCACAAGTAGACACCACAAGAAGAGGAAAGCTAGACAGACAGGGAGAGATCACACACAAGGATTGCTTCACAGAACAGTGCAAAAGTTGAAACTGCACCTCCAGTGAAGAATGGTTCATCCACAGATGCTACAGTGCGGATGCGCTGCAGCTTGCGGCCGCACTGAGACTTGGGGTGACGATAATCAGCGGACAGCTGCTTCCTGGTGACTTTTAATCCAGAAACGGGAGGGCTCAAGCAGTCACCATTTATCTATACCCAGGGCATAGGCAAAAAAGCCAACGGCAAATAAGAGGACATTGTTTAATATTAGTTAAGGTTTTTATACAGGTACATAATTGAACAATTTCTGGAAGTTCCAATGATTCTTTGATCACTGGTTTGCTGCAGAAGTCTTAAAAAACTGGTTACTGAAATTAAATATGAGAGAAACCTGGGGGAAGAAATATTTCAGCATAAAATATGTTCTAAACACCAACATTATATACGTAACAAGAAATAAAACTTACTGGAAAAGTAATCTTGCAATTAACACAAGACTGGCATTATATCCAGTTAAGGAACTTCTCTACATGAAGGAAAAATGTCTTTAGAAAACAGGAAGTCTATGTGTTTCTTAGACCTGAACTCTCTGTGTGGGTTCTGGAGCCACACTTTGAAAAAAAACATAATAGACCCACCACCATTTAACAAGCATTTCACAAAAGATGACTAATTATAGGGTGTTTAAATAAGATGTTTTGGGGATGAAATTCACAGATGTTGCAGATTAGCTGTAAACCACATAACAATGTGCTAACCACCCTTTTAAGGGTGAATGAAGAACATGAAGAAGAAAAATAACCAAACTGGTCTTCAAGGGTCATTTTATTTTAAAAGAATATTTAATAAAAGCCAGCATACTAAAAGTGTCTGCTACTTCTGCATTCTACATATGTATACACGTTTAACTAGTGGAAGATGTTTTTAAATTAAACATTCTCAGATGCACATTTTGAAAGACAAAGACTGCACTATCTAGAAAACACACCAATGGGATAATTACTGAGGAAAATAAATTAAATAAATAATTACATGAGAGAATAAGAAACCCATGGCTGACATTCTTTGGCTTTATCAAGGGAAGAGTAATAAATAAAAGTGTTGTAGCATCCAGTAGGTTGTAGAGAAACAGCCTCAAAGACGACTGAAAATTAAAACTAAATTATAATCTGTCTTAAAGATGTCAAAAGCAGCTAATGTATAAACCGGTTGTTTTTCTAAAATTTCTACATCTTTTCTGATATTTACTATTTGCCTACCAATTCTGATAAGAAATATTTTCTTGCCAATTTTGTGTGTGCTATCATTGTCAAACACGAACCCTTTAAGAGTGCAAAATAATAACAACAGAGATGACATTATTTAGAAGAGCTACAGGAGTAACAAGATAAGATAAAATTTAAAATGAAGAAATGAGAAAACTGGTACTGAAACCAATCATATTATTTGTTTAAGAGCAAGAAATAAGATGGTTTAGCCATTTAACATGACTACCCTGGTGTCAACAGCCACAAAGGGAGATTCTGAAGATGTACGACAAATATAGAGCAAGGGGAAGACTACACAAAATATGGAATGATGACATCAAGAGCAGCTTTAAGGAAATGAAGACAAACTTATACAATGTATTAGAAAGAGCTCACATAAGATATTAACATCCCTCTCCCCACTTCCAACCCACACCATTTCATTGAAGTAGCTGAAGGAGGAGACAAAGAAATAGACCACTGGCCTATGCTAAATATCATAGTTTCGGTTATTTAAATATTAATGTCTTATCCAAATTATACAGAAGGAGAAAAGATGATGATAGAAATAGATAAATACACGTATGAACTAATGAAAAATTCAAGAGAAAACATTAAAGACTGCTATTAGAATGCTAAGCTTTAAATAAAATACAATCAGCAGTTAAAAAAAAAAAGCTCTTAAACAACAGGAGAGACCTGTTGTTAACTATAGCATAGCGGATATCTGCAGGGCTGAATGAACATACAAATGATACTAATATAACCAGCAATGGCCCTAGTACTAACTTGCTGGAACACGAACAAAATTAATTCTTGTCTGCTTGCTAGAACAATGACACCATAAAAGTAAAACTACCAGTATCAAGGTCGTGCCTGTTCACAGTACAAATAAGGCAAACAGAAGGCATAAGGCATGTAATTTATAACAGCACTAACCATCGATTTAAGCACAATTTAAATCAAGTAAACCTGTTTAATTACATAAAACTGAGAATAAATTAAATGAAAACTACTAAAACAATTAAATATACCTATTTTAAAAGCATATATGGGTATACAGGCAGTGGAATAGTCACTAAGTAAATTATGTTTTACTGAAAACATTCATACTGGGCTAAACTGTTTAGGAACAGCAGTAGTGTCATTAAAAATAATGTATTTACACACAAAGGCTTTAACTGCAGAATATGTGAGGTTATATGATTATAACTGGTTCATACCAACTGATACAAGTGTGATATTTAGCTAACAGATTATTTTTTAGAAAGGTCTCATAAAATTTGATAAATTCTTTAAGTTACAGACATTGTTACCTTAGCTCATTCTATCTAGTAGTAATTTTATCAGTGATATTCGATTTAACCAACCTGGATTATAAATGGGATATTTTTGTTCTATTTCAATATTGGATAGTTATGCATGTCAGTTCTTTCAGTTATTCAGTTATTCAGTAAATATTAGGGGTATGGATTATCAAGTGTAATTGATTCTAAGCGGTTGTAGTGACATTTTTCTGGAGAATTTGTCTCTTGAAAGTATTAGATGTTGTGACTAAACACAATCAAAACATAACCCTTTTGTATAAAAATGGCAAAAGCAAAAATAGAGATAGGGTAGTCCCAGGATAGGTTCTGGGGTCTTTTTTTTCTGATAAAAGAAGAGAGACACACTGCTCCTAAATGAGCATGTTGTAAAAAGTGACCATTTAAGGGGGGAAATCAGATGGGTTTGGTCAAAAAGCACAGATGTTGCAATACAGTGTAACAACTGCCATTTTATGAGCACACACACACATATGAAAAAGAAGGATTTGGTAGGCTAATGTGGTAACTAGATGATGCATAAGTGGTTAAGAGGTACTTAGATTCTACTGACCTACAGTAAACCCTGTGGGTTTCAGGGTCACAATTTTGGTGGGGAGGGAGGGGCGGGGGGGGGGGGGGGGGAACCCACAAGCATGTTGTAAAAGGTGGCTATTAGGAGTTTGCTGAAACTGGATATGCTGGACGGAAAGATGCTGATATCACAGCCTTGCTGTAAATGACAGCACAATGTGTTGGCTGCCCTTTAAAGGAAATAACAAGAAAAAGAATGAGTTGGGATAAACTTGCTGAGAAAGGTGCAGAATGTGAGCAGGAAGAGACTGCAGTAACATACTCATAAAAGAAAAAAGCCATCCCTAGTAACATACTCATAAAATAAAAAGGCCATCTAATCTATCAGAAGTGAACAGAAATCTGGCCAGGTTATTATTCTACATCTCAGGACAGGACATAAGCTTTTGCACAGGCTTTGTCTAAGTAGTTCACCACTGTGCCCATGTGGGCTATGTGTACAGACTACAGAATATATTCTGTAAGAATGTACCTTGCACAGCCCATTAAGAAGGGAGTACTGGCACAGTGTCTCAATACGATATTAACAAATGTATGGAACTAAAAGGGAACTCCTAAAAACAGTCAAGTTTATCACAAGAACCTGTCTGTCAGTGTGAAAAAAAAATTAAACACAAGATGAAGAAAAAGTTAGGATTGAGGAAGACTAAAAATAGAAGAGGGGTGGGGTGGGGAAAGGGGGGGGGGGAGAGCAAGAGAAAGAAAGCTAGTACTAATTAATGTAATTTATGTAATTCTGAAAAGGCTTTGTATTATTTGTTGACAAGAAATAAGCTGAATAAAGAACATAGAGACACTAGCAGTGCACAACATTAGGTTTTATATTTCTATTCATCAACTGTAACATTCATGCCTTGGTACCCATCATGAAAAGCTCACATCCTCATATAAGAAAAAACTGATGATGCATAGAGCTCACCCTGAAATACAAATGTATAAGTTACACATATAGAGAAAAACAATATTGCGATAACGGAAAAAGAGATAAAATACATGAAGATAATAGATAACAACGATAACCATGCTCTGTGCATGAACTGGAAGCCTTCTCATGCTGTAAGAAAAGAGGCAATGATTTCAAAATAATTAAATGTAAACAAGACTATGAACATCTTCAGTGTGAATAAAACACGCATCTGTTCTGATTAAGGGAAAAAAGAAAGAAAGAAAGAAAGAAAGAAAGCTTTTCTTAATATACAAGTGTACACAGATTTTACAAAGGAAATATTGCCTGTAAGAAACAAATGAAACAGAGGATTGTTTAAAAACAAAAAAGTGTAACAAATAATATAAACACATGCAACTTGTGAATCATTAAAATAATGCTGAAAAGAAGCACACGGTGAGTCCAGATGAAAATGTGAACTCTCCTTCTTCTACCTACCAAATGATTTTCTGGACTGCATTACTTCAGACAAGTACATCTTGCGCAAGCTGTGTTTATGAGCAGAGTCATCACTCAAGTCTAGAACATCTATTGTGACCTTGTGTTGTCGATCCTGCAATTGCTTATTTAGTTTATCAACAGCTGTAGCTCCCATTTCCTTCTCCTCGTCTTCATTAGAATGTTTTCGAGAACCAAATGACTTGATCTTTAGACTGACCCTTCTGAAAAAATTTGTATTTTCTTCTGGACTTTTAACCCCGACTTTAGCAGGAAAGTCTTCATCATCTTCTTTCTCAGGAAACTGCGAGAATATTTCCTTGCTTTCTACTGTACTACAGTTTGAACTTGTGAGCAAACTTCTTTCTTGTTTTTCTCTGATTTTAGCATCGAGTAATTTAATCTCTTTGTCAATTCCCATCTCATGTCCAATGTGCCCTTTTTTCTTTGACATTCTTCGCATTTGATTCACAAACCAGTTTTTGCTCTGATTCTCAACTCGACGATGTGTCACTTTTAAGGAAATAGTTTTATCTGACAATGATATCTGACTATCTGATGAAGATTTTCTCAGAAATTCTCCATGTTTTCTTTCTGAGCTGTTACTCTCTTTTACATTTGTGACGATTGATAAAATGTTCCCATTTCTTTCCTTTTTTCCAGATGACAGTAAGATGCTGGAGTTTTCCCCACAGCTGTCCTGTGTTTCTGGGATATCTCCAGTACTGATACTCTTTGGTTTCAAGCATGAAGTGGGATGTAGAAGGTCTAAATTTTCAGAAAAGTCAGATCCAAAAAATGCATCACACCTTCCACCAAATTCAGTGATTTCACTAGCTGACCTTGGCAACATAATGACAGGGGTCAATGGAGAAGATGCTGCATCCTGCTGCTGGGTCATACCATAGGCATCGAGAATATGAGAGGTGTTGGGCTCACTGCTGCCACCATGTGGCAAATCAAGTGCTTGTTGATGAACCAATGATCTCTGTTGATTGTATCTGCTTTGTGATGAAGCTTTTGTGCTACCGAGTAAAGTTTGTTGATTACCTGTTTTATGTTTGTATATTACGTTTGATTCATCCTTTTCAAATAGATTAAGAGGCCTCGATGATTTTGCTACATCTGAGTACTGAGAGGGTGCAGGTTCCATTGATGTCATTAAATTCACAGATGACACAGCCGGGATCATATCTGATGATTCAGCAGTTGCTGCGTCAACTAAATGATGACTGTCTTTCAGAAGCTTTGGTTCTGTATCAAAGTTTGTCAGAGAATCTGGATCAGGTAAGATCTGTGCCTGCCCTGGTGAGAACAAGCTAGCTGTCAATGCCGTTGGGTAAATCTTCAGAGCTTGAGCCATCATCCCACTTACATTGGGAGCAAAGGCTTGACAGCCTGGGCCACTGTTTGGTGCCAGTGGGGAAGTAGGTGAGGTGTCCCCACTTTTAGTTCCATGTCTGAGAATCTGGTAGAAAGTTGACTGAAACCAACAAGGAGCAAATACACAGATAATCATGTGTCACTGCACACACATGGAACATAACAGCAGCAAAAGCAGTTAACTACAATGTATCAAGTATGACATTATTTTTAAAATGGCAGCATTCATCAACCAAGCATAATGTTATGATGTGCTTATATACATAAATATATATATATATATGTATGTATGTATACACACACTGAAATAAAAATGTATAATTGACATTAAAATGTAAAACAAACATACACAAAAACGGATATAGTTTAAACAAAGCAGAAATGCTCACTGTTTGATAATATATCTTTTACATTATACATTTGAAACACTTGAGCATATATATCATTTTCCTTGTTTAAACAGTAGGATTTAAACTATTATAAAACCTCAAGTGCACACAAAATCAAAGAAAAACTTCTGATTGTAATTAACTTCAACATAAGCAGGGAAAGTAACTCTCAGGACCAGTAAGGACGACTATAAAGATATGGCTACCATTGCATCACTTCACAGGTCTATTCATGTACATTTAACAACTTTTAAATTTCACATATGAGAATATAATTGAGTAACATAATCAGTTAGCAATCTTTTCTAATTTTCATCATATTTTTTAACATCTACAGACAGATATGCCATTGTTCCATGACTGCAACTGTGACACCTAAACATAGAAATTCATAGGTCAACCAAAATTAGTAACATGTTTTCAGATGTTTTGAAAATGGCAAGGGCCTAAAGACAACTTATCACAATTGTTGGAAAGAGACAGTCGTCAGTTTTTGGCCATTATATGAGAAGAAAGACACTGGAACATGTGATGACTGAAAAGAATGTGACAAACAGGTACAGGGAGCCAGTGTGATAGGATTTTTGACATTTTTGTCACAACATGGAAGATCAGCAGATACATGCTGTTGATGTGACGATTATATTATCTGATACATGCTGTTGATGTGACGATTATATTATCTGATACATGCTGTTAGAGACCACAGGTTATAGAGAGGCATGATACGCACACCTACTGGCAAGCCACTTGATTATAAGATGATGAAAATCTATTCAACAGATATGAATTGCAGATACTGACAATACTGGGTGAAGCAGATTTTTCACAGATTATATTTTAAATGCAACAAAAAATAGATTTCCTTGTATCTCACTCAATTTGTAAAGTAATCCCTCATACCTCAGGAGTTACTTGATCTGCTTCTGTACAGGGTTACTTGATGTTACTTAACTCTTTAAAGAATACTTGATCTTCTTCTGTACAGGGTTACTTGATGTTACTTATCTCTTTAAAGAATACTTGATCTTCTTCTGTACACGGTTACTCTGTGTTACTTAATTCATTAAGGATTACTTGATCTGCTTCTGCACAGGGTTACTTGGTGTTACTTATCTCTTTAAAGAATACTTGATCTTCTTCTGTACACGGTTACTCTGTGTTACTTAATTCATTAAGGATTACTTGATCTGCTTCTGTACAGGGTTACTTGGTGTTACTTATCTCTTTAAAGAATACTTGATCTTCTTCTGTACACGGTTACTCTGTGTTACTTAATTCATTAAGGATTACTTGATCTGCTTCTGTACAGGGTTACTTGGTGTTACTTAACTCTTTAAAGAATACTTGATATTCTTCTGCACAGGGTTACTTGATGTTACTTAACTCTTTAAAGAATACTTGATATTCTTCTGCACAGGGTTACTTGATGTTACTTAACTCTTTAAAGAATACTTGATATTCTTCTGCACAGGGTTACTTGATGTTACTTATCTCTTTAAAGAATACTTGATCTTCTTCTGCACAGGGTTACTTGATGTTACTTATCTCTTTAAAGAATACTTGATATTCTTCTGTACAGGGTTACTTGATGTTACTTAACTCTTTAAAGAATACTTGATCTTCTTCTGTACAGGGTTACTTGATGTTACTTATCTCTTTAAAGAATACTTGATCTTCTTCTGTACAGGGTTACTTGATGTTACTTATCTCTTTAAAGAATACTTGATCTTCTTCTGTACACGGTTACTCTGTGTTACTTAATTCATTAAGGATTACTTGATCTGCTTCTGCACAGGGTTACTTGGTGTTACTTATCTCTTTAAAGAATACTTGATCTTCTTCTGTACACGGTTACTCTGTGTTACTTAATTCATTAAGGATTACTTGATCTGCTTCTGCACAGGGTTACTTGGTGTTACTTATCTCTTTAAAGAATACTTGATCTTCTTCTGTACACGGTTACTCTGTGTTACTTAATTCATTAAGGATTACTTGATCTGCTTCTGCACAGGGTTACTTGGTGTTACTTATCTCTTTAAAGAATACTTGATCTTCTTCTGTACACGGTTACTCTGTGTTACTTAATTCATTAAGGATTACTTGATCTGCTTCTGCACAGGGTTACTTGGTGTTACTTAACTCATTAAAGAATACTTGATCTTCTTCTGCACAGGGTTACTTAACCCATTAAGGGTTACTTGTTCTTCTTCTGCACAGGGTTATTTGGTGTTACTTAACCCATTAAGGGTTACTTGTTCTTCTTCAACACATGGTTACTCTGTGTTACTTAACCCATTAGGGGTTACTTGAACTTCTTCTGCACACGGTTACTCTGTGTTACTTAACCCATTAGGGGTTACTGCATGGAAAAGAAGTCGCCATTGACTGTGCAGGTTAGGATTTCATTTTTAACCATGACAGAAAAAACCCATAACCTTACCATGGATTTGAACCTAGGTCTCCCAGATGACAGCCCTATGTTGTTAACCATTCGACAAGCTATTCCTCTCATATACAAACTTTTTTTTTAGTTTAAAGCTGTTTAGGAGAGAATGAGTTAAGTAATAATTACTTGGACTGAAAACAATAGTGTAACTTTCAACTTTTAATATTTTAGTTAACAAAGTGTATTTTTACAACCATAATTTAGTTGCATATCCTTTATTGGATGTTGCAAATCAACCTCATAATTTCCTGATTTTTTTGTGGTTTTACCTGGCAATTTTTTGTTAGGTAGTTTGCCTTTATATACTTGAGGACTGGCACTCATACTGTTGCAAAAATCAAGGTAAAATGGTTGTCTGCCAAATTGCTGACAGCTGAATTGATTTACAGTCATACATCATATATTTGCACAACTGTGATGTTTGTTTTTAAAGTGAAGTTACATCATCTAACCTGATCAACACTGACATTTAATAATTTCATATGTTTGCAAGACTTTCAGTTCTGTAATCGCAATTATGTCTCATCATCTTACCTGATCAACAGATGGAGACACGGAGTCTTCTGATCCTTGAACTGGTCCTTCTCCTGGCTGTTTCTTTGTGTGTGATGACTTTGAGGCTCTTTGATAGGGGTCCATGGAGCCTAAAACATAGACAAAGAATGTTCTATGAATGACTGTAAACACTAGCTTTATGGGCTTTTTCCTGTCCACTGTCTATTTGTGACTTTCATATGTATGAATATTTTGACAGGCAGTGGACTTATCCAGAAAGCTATGTTATTATTTATAATATCTTATGAAGCTGTATCATTGTGTTTTCTGGTGTGGTTTTTTATTTTATTTTACTAAATTGCTAATGAAGGCATCCTAGGTGCAGTGTTATTTCCTGAATATATTTTACAGGGAAGCTGACTGGTGCAGATTCAAACCCAGTACATTCTGGTCAGCAGGCAACCATGTAGCCACCAGGTTACCTGGGCTCAATCCCCATTATGACAGGCATTTTGTAATAAACAGTCCCAAGCTGCTTGAGGACCTGTTCTACAATGATAGATAAAATAAGAAAGCACTAGAATGAGAATGAGAAGAAGAAGGAGATCAAGAGGAAACAGTATAGTTGATTAAAGACCTGACATCACACACTCTGGGCATTCCCACAAGCGCTCCATCCCCATCTTCAGCAGCAAGAGCAAAATTCCAATACCAGTGGTGCCAGTAGCAGTCTGATTATTATATGTCGGCCTTGCCTTTCTTCTGAGCATCAAGTATTGAGGAAACAGAAAAAGAAGTAAAAGGAGGAGAAGGACTGTAAACAAGAAGAAGAAGATGGACCAGAACAGAAAATCTTTTTGGCCTCTCTATCCTTTTCCACCTCATACAGCTCATTCTATGTCCTTATCATCTAACTGTTTGAATGAAAAACAGGTGTTAATTTAACTTTTTAAATTATAAGAAGTTATTATAATTAACAGATGTTTTGGTCCCAGAAACTTAAAAAAAAAAACACACAATTTGGTAAAAATTCTAAATTAACAACTAGGGCAAAGAGGGTTAATATATCAGCTGTATGGGGCTGTATGGTAAGAAAGATATATAATTTAAATATAAATTAAATAATACATGATGTACTGCTTGGTACTGAAATAGTTAATTCTCTTCTATGTGTGATTTACAAAAAAATCTCTATTTAACTGGCTCTGTGGGTTCGAATGCAGGGACATTCTCATTTTATTGTTCTGATGTCTTCTAAATGTGTCCTATCTATCACTAGTGTGTTTCCCCACCAACCCACACCCTCCTCACTTCTTGATTCACTTGAGTTTGCTTAATTCTCTCCAAAAGCTCCAAATGAGTGATTCTCCTGTTCTTAGCATTCACTGGCTGTAAACTCAGGTGGAAAATTCTGGTTGTTCATCCACTCCTGGACTCTGGTTTTGATCCAGAACTAGAGTTCTGTGTGCACATTCACTTTACAGATCTGTCTTTTGTTGTATGACTAATGGTTCCTTGACTCTCAGGCAGATGCACTTCATTAGTAACCATTTTAATTATTTTCTGCTCTATACAGAAGTACACCTCTAGGATCATGTAGTATGTAACCTACCATATAAATCAGGAGTTCCCAAGCTAAGTAGACAAGCTTTCTGCAAATAGTCTACAATTGCCAGTCCAGATTCATTGCCAAAAGCCAGGCTGCAATATAGTAACACAGTTACATATAAATAAATAGTCAACAGATCACCTTCAGTTCACAATGAGCTAGTTAGCAATTTCTGCAAGAATCACTGTGAAGACAGTCCCTGCTATATTTATTTATTTATGATGAAATCTACACAGATATCACTTCTAGATATCAGTACATTTTTACAATATACAAGGTTGGCATATGTGGCCTAGGTTTTGCAAATTTGCTTCTAATTCCATGGTGCTGAGTTCAATCCCAGCTGTGGGTAATTTGGCAGCTGACCACTGTGCATTGGTTTCATCAGTGTTATCGACAGTCAACTGTTCAGTAATAAATGGCAAACTACTGAATGTAAAATTGCCTAGTAAAACCAAAACACCCAACAAACTCTGGGGTTGGTTCTGCAACATCCTGTAAAGGATATTATTGAATACTGATTTAAAAATTGACATCATAGCACACCGGGCATGGTAGTCTGGTAGTCTTAGTTTCAGCTTCATAGCAAACGGGTCGCCCCATCTTTGCTCCGCTCCTGTGCCAGCGAAAAACACTCAGAATGTCTATCACAGTCCCTTGTGGAAAGATTGACAGACTGCTGTACCAGCATATCTAGCATACACTCGCATTAAAGCATATGGTAGCCATCCGAAGTGCTAACACAAACAGTCCAACATTAGAAATGCAGTTCATCATTGATGATAGCAGAACTTGTCGCCAACAGATCAGCAGTTGCCCGCGCGATCAATTTTAATTATTAATACGGGCCCCGCCAGCATTGCACGACAGGCATCGCGCCATTTTCTTAATCTACAATTCACACCACCACGTTGGTCACAGTCGAAAATACATTCCAAATGAAATCCGCAGCTCACAGGGTCACGCCATGCATTCAACTCAGAAGCTGGGCGACGAAACTATATCCAGTCTACAAATGGAGCAAAAATGCATCGGCCACCGTCCGACAGAAGCAAAAAATTTGCCTCTGCTCCGAACAGCGCGGCTGTCTAGCGTCCATTTTAACCGGGCATACCCATAGGTGCTCCCTTTATCTGTTCCCTTACCACACTGATTATACACACGTCGTTATCTTCCTCTCATACATCCTTTCTTGCAGAATCCACACTTAATTCCGTGTTCACACATTCTTGCACATGTCATTTCATCTAACCTCGTATCTTCTGTCAACAGTCGTTCATACGTGGTCTTCAAAATATCTCCCTTGTCCAGTACGAGTGTTCCCGTAGCTTTCGCTTTTGTAGCCAGAAATCTGCTCTTTCATTCCCTTTCACTCCTGCATATCCCAGACAGTATATCCACATGATTCCCTGCATTGTTGTCGTACTTATGCTTGGTATCCACCCATTAATCCCTTTTGAACCTTCTGCAGTGCCAACTGAAAATCATTTATGCAAAGTATTGTAAAAGACATGCAATCACTTAACATACACAAGTGTAGCTAATAACAAAAATGATAATGAAAGTAAAAAAACAAACATTTATGAATTGTCGTTACAAACTTACAGTCCATACGATGAGTTGAGGGACATGACAGTTATGTTTCCAGGAGACTCTCCCTCAGGACAGCACAAAATGCAGACTAGCTCTGGTAAAAACCCTGGTCCCCATCGGTGACTGCCACTTCTAACCTTCACAGATGTCACTGTTTCTGGCTGGAGAAACAAAAACAACAACAATATAATATCGCTTAGAAAAGATACAGAATTTACAATGTTAAGGTATAAATCTTTCCTGTTTTATAAAATGTCCTCATAAGATCACCAGAAAAAAATATAGAATTTAAAATGTTAAGGTATAAATCTTCCCAGTTTTACAAACATTTCATATGAGATTACAACTCAAGACCAAAAACTGCAAATAAAACCAAAGACTTCAAATACTTAGGAAGCATAAACTCATCGGCCAGCAAAACAGAAGTTGAGATCAATAACAGATGTAACAAAGCAAACCAACTCATTGGACAAATGGCTCCAATACTAAGAAACAGACATGTGCCAGTCGAAACCAAAAGAGCACTCTATGACACAATCTTTTTGCCAACCCTGTGCTACCAGTGCCAGACCTTAACAATGACAGAAAAAGAGAAAAGAAATATTACAACAACTGAAATGAGATTCCTACAAGGGGCTCCTAATTTAACAATAAGAGATAAGATAAGGAGTTTTGAAATCTGAAGCAGAATGAAAGTAGCAGCAGCTGTGGATTTAATTAGAAAACAGGTGAAATGGTTTGGCCATAGGATGCCGGTGTCAGTAAACAGTATACCACAGCAAACAATTATGTACACACCAGGCTAGAAGTGAAGAAGAGGTGGAGCATGCAAATTATGGACAGAAGGAATAACAGAGTCCCTGGAGATCCCCCCTCTCTCTCTCTTTCTGCGCAAAATTCCAAAAACCTCTGTGTGTGTTTGTGTGTGCATAATTCCAACACCAGTCTCTCTCTCTCTCTCTCTCTCTCTCTCTCTCTCTCTCTCTCTCTCTCTGTATATAATTCCAACACCTTTCTCTCTCTCTTTTTATGTGCATAATTCCAATACCCTCTCTCTCTCTGTGCATAATTGCAAGACCCTCTCTGTGTGTTTGTGTGTGCATAGTTGCAACACACTGTCTCTCTCTCTCCCCCCTCTCTCTGTGCATAATTATAACATCCTCTCTCTGTATATAATTCCAACACCTCTCTCTCTCTCTCTTTATGTGTGTAATTCCAATATCCTCTCTCTCTCTCTCTCTCTCTCTCTGTGTGCATAATTCCAACACCCTCTGTGTGTGTTTGTATGTGGATAATTGCAACACACTGTCTCTCTCTCTCTCTCCCTCTCTCTGTGCATAATTCTAACATCCTCTCTCTCTGTATATAATTCCAACACCTCTCTCTCTCTCTCTCTCTCTTTATGTGCATAATTCCAATATCCTCTCTCTCTCTCTCTGTGCATAATTCCAACACCCTCTGTGTGTGTTTGTATGTGCATAATTGCAACACACTGTCTCTCTCTCTCTCCCCCTCTCTCTGAGCATAATTCTAACATCCTCTCTCTCTGTATATAATTACAACACCTTCTCTCTCAACAGTCCATCATATTTAAATAAACTAATTTATATACATGTGACCAACTTTGGTATTGTCAGAGGCAGTGGACGAATGAGAACCCAAACTGCTGCTGTTTTGTCCCAACATCTTTGCACTTGGTTTTGAATAATCACAGTCAGGAGACTCTAGGTCATCATGTACTTCATAAACTATGGCCAACTCCAGAGACTGAAACAATACAACAAAATTAACTGAACATATTGTACCAAAAAGATAACAATTGACACTAAATCTTGTCATATTTCACCAACTTTTTTCTTTCTGATTAGTTAGTTAATTAGTCTTTTCTCTTGAACCTAGGGCGGCGGATAGGGCAGAGGTCATTGCTCTCCATATTTGGTGGTTCGTTGCCATCTGTTTTAGGCCTAGGTTGAGCCTTCCCTGATGATGGTTCTACTATGCAGGGTCTCTCTTGGTCTCTCCCCATTGTCTTTTCCCTGGTGGTGTCCACATGAGAGCTTGATGAGGAAGTCAGGTCTTATCCATTCTGATTGTAGTTCCAGCTGTGCTTTAAAAAAAAATAAAACTGGATACATTATCTTGCTTGGTCTCTTGTCTTTCTGATGAAATTTAACAAATTTTCTAAAAATCAGAACTATGGTTTGATGATCATATGTATGCTCATCATTATCAACACTAAGGTCTTGGTTTGAGAAGACTGAGCTACCACAAAACAGTAACTGTTACTACCTGTTCTCTGTTAACTCCAAAAATTGGGCCAGTGGCTTCAGGCAGATGAATGTATTGGGGGAAGAATGAGGGTGGGGGGGGGGGGGGGGAGAGGAGATACCAGCTTTATCCTACTAGGAGAAGATATGCAATCTGAAAACTTAAAGTTATGGAAGAGTAGATCAGTCCCTAAGCCTTGGAAGCTTAAAATTATTAAATACTAGGTCTGAAGGAGTTCAACAGACACTAAGGAACAAAAGTAGTTGAACTAATTATTGGGAAGCAAAGGGTTAATTTTTAACCATTTTAGCCATTTTTAATTAATCCTTTTTTAGTCACATTTTACGACATGCTTCTTAAGAGGAGGAGCAGAATTTAATTCGACAAAGTTCTTATTTTAACTAATAAAAGTCTGGGCCAGAGTGAGTTAAAATAATAATGTTATGAGAAAGAGTCAATTCAAGTAATAATTGGGAAGTAAATTAGTGTAAAAAATCTGATTAAGTACAAATGTCAAGAAACGTTTATTGTGTAATTAAAGTTCAAATCAATAAAAGCCTGGTGATTCTTGGTACCAAATAAATCTAAAGATAAAAAAAGATAAAGGATATCTTGAGAACAATTCACTTACCACTGTTTCTACAGAAATTTCTTGTTTTGAGAACCTGAAAAGTGCACAATGTGTGGGTCCAGCCACACACAGCATACGACTCTCTAGGCACAAGAAGATCATCTGTATAGCAAATGGATCATCTTCTTTGTCTTGTGATAATCTCTTAGGTTTTTCAAAAACTTTTGCTGTTTTTAGTTTATACAAGAACTGAAGTGTCACTGTGGAGTACATGGTTGTGGGGTGCTCAGGTTAGTCTGACAGAACAATTTAATGCACAGAACACACAGAAAAAATCAAATGGATGTTATGTAAATGAAGAGAACTTCCATTGTGTAGCAGCTAGACAGTTGCCTGTCAATCCTAATGTCATGGGTGCAAATCCAAACAGAGCCAGGAAAACAATTACCTTGGCTTAAATTAGCACCAGGAAAAGTCCTGGGAAATAATGCAGTGTGGGTTCCAAGACTCTGTTTTAATGGGGATGGGAATAGGCTCATCCCCTAACAAGCATATCATGAAAATTGACTAATTAGGGGTATTTTCTTTAAAGCTGGAGTTCAACTGCTTGAGCGGTAGGAAACCAACAGTTTGCATATAAATAAACCAGATCTATAAAATGAATGTGCCAGAAAAACTAAAGTTCTCAAACAAGCCTAAAGTCCAGAAATGGACGAACAACCCAAACTTTCCACTGGAGTTTACTGCCAGTGAATTTGAAGAACAAGAAAATAATGATAGTTCCTTCTTATAGTTCATGCTATCTGGCACTGGCCATCATGTCTGTTTACTGCCTTCTACCTCATTACTTCAATAATTTTCTGGTAAGATTGTTCTTCGATGTCATGATGCAACGTTTTCTTGTTGTTTCCCCTCTAGCTGTTCTATTATCATGACACAGATAAAGTGGGTTGAACTGTTGTTAACTTTTTTAGCATCAGAAAGTTTCACATAAGATGCACACTGAAGAAATAACATTGATAAGAAAAGCATAAAATGTGTCATTCTAAATGGCAATATTCACAGTAGTAATTACACTAGGGAAGTCAAATTTTTGTTTAGTTTGTTTTGACCATGTAACAAGATTTGCATTGGACAGGATACCACAGATAGCAATGTTATACGGATAAAGAAGTAACTGAGCCAAAGGTCAACCACACAGAAGAACAACTGCAGATATATTAGAGGCACTGAAAAGTTCTTTATACAAAGCTAAAAGAAGGGCCTATTCCAAAGATATCTTCCTACCTTAATGCTGCGAGGCAATTCAGAAGTAGAGAGAAGAAGAAGTTTTGACTAAATGTTAAACTTAATAGATCACATTATGCCATGGATGGAATTCGAGGGATAGTGTCACTCACATACTGTGTACTGCTAGGGGCTAAAAGAAGATATAAGCAGCTAACATTTAAAACACTTGAAAACAGAAAGTGTAGACAAGCTTTACAAGTGTAGCTGCATTAAATAAACTATGGATGTTTGAGTTTCAAGACTTTATTAGCAAATAACTATAAGAAACTAAGTAACACAAAGTAGGAATGATTCTGAAATAATTATGTCATTGCATTAGGATATTATTTACAATTTTTTGACAGCAGTCTATCGCTAAACTTATAATACAGAAAATGATGGGAGATTAGATACAGATGACCTTCACTGTGCAGGCAGCAACTGACTTCCTGATAGTGTTTCACACAGCTACAACAGCATATTCTCTTTGCCTAAGTTCATATTCATGACATCACACACACAAGTATATAACACACACACACATATACATATATATAAACACATACATACACACATACATACACACATACATACACACACATATATATATATATATAGAGAGAGAGACACAGAGAGAGAGATCTTCAGTTTTCATTATGGCATCTTAGTTTGTGCCAGGAGCTGTTCCAAGGCTGAGAATTAAATACACACATACACATATGCATTCACATATGCATGCACACATGCATGCACACACACATGCACAAACACACACACACCTTAAGTGCAGCTAAGCCAGTATTAGCAGTCTTACCTGAAGATGCATCCCAAAACTTTAATGATCCGTCTGCATGCCTGAAATATAAAAAAAGAAACTATTCAGCATTACAATTTGTAATCTTCAAAATAAATTATTCACACTACAAAAGAGAGGAAAGCAACAAACTACTGAAATTAACACACAGTATTTAAACTGCAGTCACATGACATCACCAGTGTGATGCTGACCACATCACCCATCTTGTGCCGATTGGTCTATAATAATATAGGTCTAGCCCTATATGCCTAAAGGCGTGGAAAAGGGTCCTTTACATTTTTTTTTTTAATTTTTGTTACACATGACATCATATGTAAATTATTTCAAATAAATTATAAATGGTTAAAAACAGAAATCTTGATATATTTAAAAAAAACAACAGTGACCGTGTAGAGAAATATTAATAACAAAAACAAATTATTTATTGAATATGGTGAATCACTTGTGGAAAGCAAAGGGAAATACAACATTATCATCCCATAAACCTATCACAGAAGCCAAAAACTAAAGCTGAAATATTTTGACCATATCAAGCACCATGATAAATTATAACAAAAAAACAGCAGAAGGTATCATAAAGGATGACAGGGGCCGACCAACATGAAGATAAGCTTAGGATATACGTACTCCTTGGATATGAAAGTGGATGAGGTGGGAAAGCTGGCAAGAGACAGAGTTTCTTTCAGGCAGAGCGTGATGACAGCGATATTCTGCAAAGGACGTGCTACATGACAATGAGTGAATCATTTATTAATAATGCTAAATACAACATAAAATACGACTAGAAAGCTTAAATTGAGGGAATGAAAAAGACAGGTACAACCAAATGTTTTCACCAAAGTCTTTATCAATGTTGAATGTTGAATTAAGAATCGACATCATAGCACTCAGGACACCTTCATAAGTGCTCCGTCCCCATTGTCAGCAGCAAACAAAGAGTTTCAATTCCAGTAGCACCAGTAACTGTTTGATTGCATATCCATCTCACCCTTCCCTTGAGTCTTGAGCATCGGCCATATCCCCTGGTAACTCCTCACAGCGCCATTCTCCTCAGACCATAATGATCTATTTGCGCTTCTGCACTGTTCACTCACAACATCTAGCTTGTCATACATCATTTCACCACCAAGTCTATCTGCCTGCCCCAACACACAAGCATGACCTGGAGAGAATATCCAAAGGATGCTAACTACCCAGGACCTCTGAAGTGATGCCTGCCACTCTGCATGAAGCATACCTGTCTCCACCCTTCTCAACATGCTCTGTGAGTCAGTAACAATCACGACATGTCTTTATCAAAAGAGTAGTAAACACAACACAAACTGTGACTCACAAATTTAAAAACTTAACAGAGCTTCTTTACAACCAAGGTCAACAAGAAACTATGAAATATGTAATATGCATCTTTTCAATTCCCTTCGTTTCAGCTTTACAGCTGTATTTTACATTGTGTTTAGCACCTCTTGACATCAATCAGATTGACTATAGTCAACGCCTTATTAATGTCATCACTTATTAGTAAGTGAAGTAAACAACCTTTTGTATGCCATGAAATGCGCTTGCTCATATATTTAGTGGTGGATGAGTGGTGCTGTCAGGATCATACATCCACCATTACTCTGTAAAATATTTTCTAGCCCTTAGTGTTAAAACATGACTTGACTCTGTTGATGCAGAGCAAAACTAATCCCAACCTACAGGGAATTTTTTACAGCCATATTTTTTTTTCAGCATTTTTACCTAGGCTGAAATTTTTTTTTAAACATCTAATTCGAGAAAATACTCCAATATTATCAGAATAAATGTGATAATTTTTTCTGCTGTCAAATAATACAAGAAGCATTCACAAACTAAGACCCACATCTTTTTGTCAGCAAACAATAAATAATAAACATGAAATTTTGCAGACTTCAAATTTGACACACCTATGCTGTATATACAAAACAGCACCTGATTCTGACCCCCTTTCCCCTACCACCCCCCCCCCCCCTCAACTAAAAAAAAAACACTGTTGTAATAAAATTCATTAAAGCTGTATGTCAGGACAAAGTGCAATGTTGAAAAAGAAACTGTTGTGAACTTTAATCAATGTTTGTGTGATGTATATGAAAATTGTGCAGTAGATAGGAGCACCACTGGTAGCTTAATTCAGAGAGTTAAGGCTTCAGAAAGTAGAGAGATGCACCTGAGGATATTGTTCCTCTTATGAAGAAATGGTAAAGTATGCAGTACAAAGCCTGACAAAGGCAAGGCATACATATCCTTAATTTGGTCATTTAAATGAATGGACATTATACAGAAAAATTACGACGTGTAAAGTACAAATAAGTTATACTGTCAGTGCATTCAATTAATTTTGTTCCAGCAGTCTTAAAAATATGAGGGACATTATTTTCTTATTGTCCCACATTGTAAAAAACCTGCATCTACCAGGTTTGAGGCTTCAACAATGGATCAACATCAGGGCACACATGTAGTAACCCATAAGTGCTCCGTTCTTTTTCTAACTCGTCTGAGTCCAAAGAAGCTCAGCACAGTGCACAGGCTCTGAAGCACCAGCGAGGATCCTGAAATACTTTGGGTAGATTTTTAACTCCAAATTTTGCCTAGGCAGTGCCGTTAGGCTACTCTTTTCGATTTCCAACTGCCAAGGGATTTTTTACGTGCAAACGGGCATTTGATCTCACTACCCAGAGACCAGGCGGAATTACTAGAAGTCCAAAACCATGTGAAAAAATTCCAGCCCTTACCGGGGATTGAACCTCTAGCACTCAAGGCAGACACCATGCCTCGAGGCCACGCAGCCCTCCTCCCCCCTCGGACGACAAGGAGTTTGTCACCCGGTCACCGCACAGTCCGGTTTAGCCAACTACGCTCATCTACCATTAAAATGGTAACTAATATCTTCAAAAACACAACCTACCCTGTGATAATTATTTCTGGATAACTTGTCCCTCTAGCTCCCCAGGATCCACCCTTGATTGGCCAAGGCTGAAAACAGAAAAAATAGAGTAGTGAAAAGCAAGGGAGGTTTTGTTGTGTAGTGGCTAGATGTTTACCTGCTCAACTCAAAGGTCTTTGATGTGAATCTGTGTATAGATTTTCATAGTTATAATACAGCTCCACAACAAATTAATCATTCGCTGAATTTCTGACCCCTTCATAATTTTCTAGGGGGTAGGGGTAAAGGGTCTTAAGTCTTGTTTATGTTGATAATAATAGTGATTTGCTGAATGGCCAATGAACATAATTACATTTCTAAAAAAAATATTAAATCTATAAACAAAAACACACACAACAACAAAAAAGTTACAAAAAATATATATTTATAATTAAACAAATTTAAAAAAAAAAGAAAAAAAAGGAACAAAAAATAAATAAATGGCCCTTTTCCAAACTTTCAAGCATATAGAGCTATAGTGTATAGCATATAGTATATTTTATAGATCAGTCTGCACTCGGTGGGTGATGTGGTCAGTATCACACTGGTCATCTTTACTTCTCAGGACTTTATCTGGTATCCATTTATGCCTGGGTTAACCTGGGAGCCAATTAATTTTTTGGAAGATAAAAAGTTTGGGCGCTCCTTTGAATCATCCCCCAAAATGGCGGCATGCCACATTCTGGCCATAAAATATTCAAAAATATCCAAACGACGGTGTTCACGTATATCTAAAATACGGACTTTCTGCCAAGGAACAAATCGCGGCAAAACTAAGATTACTTGACAATCAATATCAACATTTGCACACGGTACTAGTAGCAGACGATAAATACCGACCGTTGACAACAATTTCGAGCGTTTGTGCAGACAATACTAGCAGACGATATTAGCGACCGTTGACCAATTTCGAGACATTACAGACGATGAAAGCCGATTAGCAATACTGTGTTCTTCCGATTGGAGGATTTAGTAGCGGTAGATGTCAGACTTGTTGGCATGCGCCAAACGCGATTAAACTCATCGCCGAGCGTATCCCCCGAGCCGCTACGCGCGGCGTGGATGGGGGCTAAACTAGGTGCCTGGGACTCACGAGTACAGCAATTGGAGGATTTTGCAAGAGATGCGGTAGCTGCTGAGTCCAAACCATCTAGTTTAGCCCCCATCTGCGCCACGCGTAGCGGTGCAGGGGATACGCTCGGCGGTGAGGCACACTCGCAGAAGCAGGTCAGCAAGCAATGTATTGCCGAGACCCTGTCAGAGCATTTGTTTCGTTATCCAGAGCCGGCACATATATTTTTAATAGAACTGACCCGCATTCTGATATTTTTGGATATTTTATGGCCAGAAATTGGCCAATTTAGCTCTCTTTCCAACGCCATCATATTAAAGCCGCCATTTTGGGAAACAATTCAAAGGAGAAGCCAAAGTTCGACCCATTCGGATTCGAACGCATGAACTTTGGATCCTTCCTTGTCTCTACTTTTACTGTAAAGTGATTAGTAATGCCGGACATGATTTCTGCTATCATTATTATTGCCAGGCACTTTGGTAGAAGGTACAGATGTTTACATCTCCCTGCAGGTCAAGGTTCCGGATCAGGTCTTTAAAAGATGATCCTCTATGCCACCATCTTAGACCACTCAAATAAATAAATCACAATGGACACTCCCATTGTGGGTTCCAGGGGACCCATTTTTTTGGGGGTGGGGGGGGGGGGGGGGGAAGAGACAGATCTACTGCCCTATAACAAGCATGTCAGTGAAGGTGACTATGTAGAGGTATTTGCTTGGAATGCAGAGTGCATCAGCCTGAGAGGGAAGAAACCAACGGTTTGCATACAATTCTGCTCTTTATCCTTCGCTGATAATTGAGGTGCTTATCCAACTCCTGCCAGGCTGTCCTAACTTTTACTATCTCCTACAGCGCCTACCATGATCTTCTTATATGATTCATCTCTTGTCTTTAACCCTTTCAGTCCCAATGAATGCAAGATGTGTGTTTAATTCTTTCTATACAATCACCTGGCTCTTTCAGGACCACATTTTTTCTGCAGTTTGGACGGCATTAATTTTGAGCAAAATTATTTTACTGCAACACAACACAGCTAAAACATTCCTGAAGAAAAAGTATTGGCTGTATAGAGACAGATAATATATCAAATTAAAGATAAATGAGTGCAGAATAAATCTAAACTATTTAAATGTCAGTATAACAACAAAATATTATTAAAATCACACAACATTCAAGGATCTTAGACACCTATGAAAATTACTGACATAAAAAATTTAGTAGTTACCTTATTTTTTACTTGTTCAGTTACATTGCTATCCAATTCTAAGAATGCACATGCCTTCTCTGTTCAATGATGTATTAGCCAGTCTTTACTTGAAACATTTAATTTAAATACTTTGGATATTATGATCATTTATGTATGACAATTTATGAAAATCTGAAAAACAGCTGACCAAAACACTGATCTGATTAAAATATTTTGTAAAATTTTCATATCCTAAACTAAATTATCACTAGTAGATTTATCACTTAGACATCAATCATAATATCAAGCATCAATGATAGAGCAGTATGAACAGTTCTAGACCTTTTCCCTTATCATTTAGTATAGAAAAATCATGTAAAAATTGTATCCCATCTGAACAATTTTTTTTTTTTTAAATCAGAGAATAATGCACCAACCATGATGCACTTCGAAAACGAAAGGAATTCCTGTTGTTAATCCTAATTGTTCAAAAACGTTCATAAAAGTTCATTTTCCCTACAAACCAAACAAAATTAGAGTGTCTCTATCATGATCCAGTATACTGGCGATACGTCTTTAAGGGATACACTTAATCGCCGGTAAAACTGATACACACGCAACACTCAGGTTCTGGAGCAGGACTGCAGTCCAGAATTGGACGAACAACCAGAACTTTACACCAGAGTGTACAGCTGGTGAACGTGAAGAAGAAGAAGAAACTATCTAAACATCCGTAAAGAGTTACTAATTTTTTAATATTTTTTTTAATTTAAACGTTGCTAGAGCATTTAAAAGAAATCAAGCACATAATGTGAAAATAATTCACTCATAAATAGGCTATTCTCCTTGGACCAAGATATTTAATTGTCTAATGTGTTTTAAGTCTCTTCTAACTCCTACTCCCCATGGGTTCTAGTGCAACAAATTTTTAAAAAATAATTACTGTTCTTATGTTGTTGTTTTTTTTAAATTTATGTTTATGCCCAGCACCATATTTAAGAGATGTTTTGATGTTGTTACTGGAGCTATGGAGTTCACGCTTTGTTTAATGCTCTCGGCAGGCAGCTAACAAAGCTGCTGAGAAAGACTGAGCCAGATAGAATCAAATCTAGTGCAATAAAATGGATCCCCTCATATTTATTCACCATTATTCACTTTAACGAAACAAATACACTTACTTTTTCACTAAATCCTGCCTTCTTCTGGTTCTTGCCAGTGGAGTAGAGAGCAGGAATGATATCCATAGGACAGTTGGCATAGTACTGGCAGGCGGTTACTGGTGATTCATGTAGGTCCATAGGGTATGGATTTTCAAAACATGGATAACTGAGAATCATAAGATAATCATCCATTTAACTCTCAGTAGACATGATATGATGTAAACAACATTAAGTTTTTTAGTACCATAGCTCATCATATTTCAACACTGGGGATTCAGAACTTTGCCAGTGTGGACAGGCACCAAAGAATACTGAACACATGCTACAGACAAACTTTCTACATACAGTAGAGACATCCTTCTCCGTATGGGTTCCGGAGTCCCATTGTGGGGAAGACAAGAAAAAACCTACTGCCTCCCCAAAAAGCATATCACAGAATTCAACTAATTGGCAGCTTCCTTCAAAGTCAGAGAGCATCTACCCAAGAGGCAAGGAACAACTAACTGCACACAGATATGCCAGTAAAATAATATATATATATATACACATATGCAGAACTCAGAGCCTGTTACAAAGCCAAAGTTTAAACAAACGAACAATTAATACTTTCCACTGCAGCTTATAGACGGGAAGCAAAGAAAAAGGGAATTCCAGGTTTGGCCGGTTGGCACGCCAGTAAAAACAAGCCTGTATGGAACAGTGAAAAACACGCATCACACCACAGACTCTATAGAGGACTGGTCTTCTCGTCTGAAAACCACTTACAGGGAGAACAAAAACAAGAAGACCATATGGCGATTGGTTATCCAAAGATAGAACACTTCACATGACTCTTTTAATGAAGACATTTATTAAATTGACTCTTGCTGTCATACTTACAATATTAGCCCTACAGCCCTAAAGTAAAGTAGTCATCATCATCATCATGTGCTCTGCCAACTAACGTAGGCGCTCATGCATCTCCACAGATCATGATCTCTGGTTGACTGGAACAGCTCTCTTGATGATATCCCTCCATGCCATCGTTTCAGCACATCATCTCTTTTGGTCTGCCTCTACCCCTTTATCCACTTATCTTTCTAGTTGTTACAATGTTCTCTAATGTCTTTCTTCCCATTATATGGCCAAAGAACAGTGTCTGTCTCTTTCTTATTGTTGTAAATAGAGATCTACTTTCATTAGCTTCTTTCAAGCATTCGTTGTTAGTTACTCCTCTGGCCGTCCAAAGTAAAGAAGTAGTAAAGAAACTATTTCACACCAGTAGCATACTCGACATATGATGGTAGCCTCATAGTTTTATAGACCAATCGCCACTCTGCAGCTATCGTTAGTTCTCAGGAAATTTCCTGGTACACATTTTAAGCTGGGTAAACATGGTAGCCAAGGTTAACTTTATTGAAAGATTTGCCTGGTCCAGCCAGATTGACACTCAAGCTGGATCCCTGTGACAGTGAGCAAGCCCACTGAGCTGCTGCTTGTCCATTAACAGCGACTAAGACAACTGAGTAAGAATAAAACTAGGTCATTGCATCAGAAGGAAATAAACAACATACTTTTAGTGACATAATGAAATGGAGAAAACTTTGAGGAGAAGAAAGGAAGTGGAGACCAAAGGAGAGATGTTAAAACAGTTTGACATCATGGACTATAAAAAACAAGTAGAAGAATTTTTAAAAATTAATAAAAAAATTAAAATACCCTGATGAACTGAGATCGATAACAACAAGATCATTTTCCAATAGCACCACAATGGCATAAGGGTCTTGAATATCTGAAAATATGCATGAACATAGAGTTATATATAACAACAGCAACAACACATTTTTCTACTGTGGAAAAAATAAAGTACAAGTAGTAGTTCAGCTGAACTGATTTATGAACTGACATCACAGCACTATGGACATTCCCATAAGTGTTCAATCCTCATCTTCAGCAGCCAGTAAAGACTTACAGTTTCAATGGTGCCAGAGCTGTTTGATTTTGTGTCCATCTTGCCTTTCTTCTGAGTGAAGAGTTTTGTTCAGATGCCCTGGCCACTACGAGCTGTACCCAATAATGATCTATTCCTGCTTCCTCAATATTCACTTGCTCTCAAAGAGTCATGACCGCATTTGCTTTCGTATGCATCAATTCACCACCCTGTGGGGCAGGGCCAGCCAGTATTTCTTGTTGTTAATTTCCTAACACACCTGCACTTTGTAGCACATTCTCTATGAGTGGCTAATCATGTATGAAGAATTGAAGAAATATTAGAAAATGATGCATGAGAAATTGATTTCCATGGGTACAATCTTCCAAAACAACATAAAATTGTGTACACTGTTAAAAAAAAAATGAAATGTACTTATCCGATGGTGCATCTTTATTAGTTTGCAAATAAAATATCGTACTCAGGTATGTGAAAAGCAGACTTAAATGTTGTTTACCGTGTCCAGTGGACATGTGGGCATGAACTGCGTGGGTTATTGTAATCGTTACAATGCATTGGTCAATTGTGTTTAAGAACACATTTGTGAGCACAGCTCATGATGAGTGCATGTAAAGGCAACCCAATTTGGGGTGAACACTACTCACTGCTATGCAATTGAAATCCTGTAAAATGATAACACTACACCAAAACTTTCAGTCCATTTTCAAGCAGTCAAGAATGGCATCTCTATCGATAAATTTAAGGAATATTGCGATTGGCGGATTGCAGGCAGGAGAAAGTGAAAATCAGGTTGCTTGGCATCTAAACGTTGATCATAGTTCCCTCAGTTGACCCTGGAACCAGTTCCAAGCCACTGGTTCAGCTGAAGACTGACACTGCAGTGGATGACCTAGAATGACAACAGCAGCGGAGAATTGCTTTATCCAGCTTCGTCACCTCAGAGACAGGTTTACAACAGCTTCCTCAACTGGGCAGGCACTGCCTCCAGGACATCATGTGTCTGATCAAACTTTTCAGAACAGACTTCATGGCGTTGGACTTTGTGAATGCCATTGTAATGGCAAAATTCCAGGGAACAAGAGGTAAGGTAATACTGGCACTGAGAAAAGCATTAAAAAATCTGCATAACAGCAAAGCTAAGGTGTTCTTGCACTAAAAAAGGGAGCAAGAAAAAGGGGGTGGGGGGGGGGAACAAAAAGACAGAAAAAGAAAGCACTGAAAAGAGAGCTTGAAAGAAATTGGAGCATAATATTTGTGGAAGGAAAGGAGCATGGCATGAGCTGCCTGAGACATCAAGAAAGTAGGACTTAACATAATATAACCCTTGACCTGTTAGGGTCATTCAGGTGTTTTGGCAGAAGCACTAACACACAAAACCCGCCATCTTTCTCTGTCGTGAACTTGTTGAACAAGTGTATGATAACTTAAGTCCTGTCCACTTCCTGGTGTTTTCATTCCAGGTCTTTTTTGTCCACCTCTTTTTTTTTTCTTACTAACTCCCAATGTTCCATGAAGTAGCCTTTGCAATCGAATCATGTCTCACCATATGCTTGGACCAAACTAGCATGTGACGTTCACCATTGCTAAGAGACACTCCTGATGTTCTGCAAATTTGCTTGTCTCTGACATATTTGTTTGTTTTATATTCCACAAAACTAATTCGTAAAATTTGTCTACAGCATTTATATTCGAAAGCCTGAATCCTCCTCTCCAGTAAGACAGTGTGATCTGGATCAGGACCTATACAGAAGTATGAGATAAAGACAGGGTAGGAAAAAAGCAAATGTACCTATAGTAAACTTATTAGTTAAGCTATATTTCCCTCATGATGATGGTTATCACACTACAGTTTTACAAAAATAGTAATAAGCGAAAATGGGGGGGGGGGGGGGCACTCACCATTGACCCAGGGTGTATCACAGAGGCTAATAAAATCTATTATGATATGCTCCATCTCCAAAACAGTGGTGTTCTTTCCTGCCATTACAGTCAGACATGGTGTTCTTCCACCTTTGTCATAAGACAAGCCACCTGAGAAAATGATTACTGGTTCCCTAGTAAACAAACAGAAATGAAAATTTATTATCAACCAATTTACTATCCACTACCAAATATATGAGTATTTATTTCCGGTGGTTACATACATGCCAGAGATTCAAGTGGTCAGACAGATATGGAGTTTCTCTCTGAGATACTTTAACTAAGTGATTGGGTGTATTGTTGTTCATATTTGTGGTATTGTATATTCATGTAATGTGCTGATGAAGGCTCTATAACCACAGTGTTCTCTTGTCATTTGTGTCTGTGATAATGTAAAACTGACTGGTTCTATTTTTTGTTTTGTTTAATATCTTTTCATCTTTCCTTACCAAATATCGCACGCATGCTGTAAGTAAAGTTTGCTTCAATAGTGGTTTATTAAAGTCCTTGTGTTCCAAACAATTTGCCATGCATTGCTTAGTCACGCCAACATTCGTGCTTTATTCGGTCACAGAAAAATGCTCTATTATCACATTGTATCCAGAGTGTTTGTAGAATGTTTTTCCCCCACAGTATCTCTTAACCCTTTTAGTCATAACATCTAGTATGAGAATAGAAATGGAGGCAGTTACTGTAGCCTTCCACTGGCTTGAGAACCAGCTTTACACACAATCGTAATGTTATCCGACTCACAGAGCATGCTGAGAAAGGTGGAGAACGAATGCTCATTGCAGAAGTGTAAGCATCACTTTAGGTGTTCTAAGCAGTTAGCATTCTTTTGATAGGTGTGACAGAGGTACATTTTGTTAACAGGCCCGCACTTTTGTTAACACATAAACACCCACAATGGTGTTTCCAATTCTCAAAAATGTTTAAGTACTCGAAATAATTTCAAAGTTAGTCTGGTTTCCACGGAACGTTATTGGCTACTGAGTAGCCACCCATTTATTCTCATAGCTCACATGCACACTAATCCCAAGTAGTCACTGGTTATGCATATCAACCGTATCTTGTATAGTTGTTCATAAATAATATTAGCAATGTAAACAAAGTCATGAGAGACTGTAGCAGATGAGTCAGGAATAATAGTTAAAACATCATCCTGACTACCACAGATAACTTAATAAATCCGGCTACACAAAAGGAACACGTTTCACAAGTATGAACTACTACTAATGTCCTCCCCACGCCTTCAGATCGAGTCCATGCCAAGCAAAATTAATTGTAACATTTCAGGGATACCAAACAGACATATCCGTCCAGGGGACCGCCAAACTACCAACTGCCGTTTATTGGTCTACCCGTTTATCCAGTCCCCTTGTAGTCTCTTCTCTCCCGTAACACTCATCATCATGTGCCCTGCCAACTGGTGTAGGCGCTCATGCATCTCCACAAATCACGATCCCTGGTTGCCTGGAACAGCTCTCTTGATGATATCCCTCCATGCCATAGTTTTAGCCCATCCAGCATCATCTCTCTTGGTCTGCCTCTACCCCTTTTCCACTGATCTTTCCAGTTGTCACGATGTTTCCCAATGTCTCTCTTCTCATTATGTGGCCACAGAACAGTGTTTGTCTCTTTCTTATTGTTGTATATATAGATCTACTTTCATTAGCTTCTTTCAAACAATCGTTTTTAGTTACTATGGCCGTCCAAGGTATTTGTAAAATTCGTCTCAGAAACCACATCTCTGTTGCATCCCATAACACTAAGTTACCCTAATATCCCTGCCTGTCTTGTCTACCCACAGCCCGTCTGACCAGTAATTTTCCTGTCTGCTGTTATTAGTCAGTCTTGTTGTTCTTTGTCTTTCTCTCACAGTGTGTGGTAAATCTGAATTATGACAAGCATCCTTTGAATATTTAAGTATTTAAGCATCCTTGGATGTTTCCTCCAGGTCATGCCAGTGTGTTGGGAAAGAAACAGGCAAACAGACTGGTTAGTTTTGCGCCACTTAGTTGTGACTTGGGAGTGAGGTTACAGTGCATAGGCACAAATAGGTCATCACTGTCTAAATAGAATGGTGCTGCGAGAAGTGATCAATGGATTTGGTCAACACTCAATACCACCAAGGGAAAGGTGAGATGGATATACAGTCAGACAGTTACTAGTTCCACTGGAACTGGTACTCTGTACTTGCTGCTGAAGACGGGGATGAAGTGCTTTTAGGAATGCCTTGAGTGGTATGATGTTGATTCTTAATTCAACATTTAACATCTTTCCCTGATCAAAGCAGAAGGCCCTCTGTCAAGAGTGTAGTACAAAGCACAAACTCTATATCCTCAGTGACAGCCCACAGAGATCTCTAGAAAAAAGTGTACTTATGAATCTGAAAGAAGTGTACTTATGAATCGAAGGATGCAGCCTGAAAACAAATCAATGACCTTCACAGTGCGTGACAAATGACTTGACCATTCCACCACAGAGACCCACACATTATTTAAGAAATAATAGATGAATCAATTAAATATTACCTTACCGTATTCTAGAATATAATATGGTATTGAAGTGTTATATCCACACTTTAAAAGATCAAAACTAAAAAAACTTTTCTTACTTATTCATAAATGTGCACTGCTTTAGGACCCTAAGTAAACTGTGACTAAACGCTATAAAACCGTAGGAAAAATATTCACAATACTTAAGCCAGATCAATCCTACCCAGTGTGGGTTGATCTCCATTCTACTTTGGCTATAGGTTTGCAAACTTCTAGTGTGTCTTCTGCTCCAGACTTTGCTGAAATAAAAAAATAAAATTTTTTTTTTGCATTTCTAACAACTGCTATTACTGTAATTTAATATGAAAACAAGTGAAAAAAATATATTAACTCCTTCAATCCCAAACGACATGTGATATGTGATGGGGCTCCACTTTTAAATTCCAATTGGAATTCTTCTTCTTCTTTGTTCACTGGCTGTAAGCTCTGGTGGAAAGTCCTGGTTGCCTGTCCATTTAGACTTTGGCTTTGTGCCAGTCCGTTTTACTGCCTAATTTGTGTGCAGCTGGTGGTTTCTTGTCGCTCGAGCAGATGCACTCCTACTAAAAAGCAAGCTCCCAATTAGTCTACTTCTATGAAATGCTTGTTGGGGAGGTAGTGGGTCTATTCTTGATTTTCCCACAATGAGACCCCGGAACCCACATGGAGAAACTGGAATTCAGAAGTGCTGACAACATAGGTGATGCACGAGGACTTAGGCTCATATGAGGACCAGGTCTAAATTATCAACACCTCTCCATGGTCCTCTTAGAAACAGGTGCCAAACTGGCAGTCTGGCAAATGTAGATGGGATCAACGTTTCTTTTGGAGTCGGAATGGCATTTAACTGAGATGCGAAGAATCACACACACAAAAGCCAGATATGTAAAATGAATGTACACATAACAATCGGCCTTGAACAAAACAAAAGTCTAGAAGTGGATGAACAGCCAGGACTTTTCACCAGAATTTACAGACTGAGCATGAAGAAGAAGAGGAAGAAGAAGGCGAAGGCAAAGAAGAAGAAGGAGAAGAAGAAGAAGAAGAAGAGGAGGAGAAGGAGGAGGAGAAGGAGGAGAAGGAGAAGAAGAAGAAGACGAAGAAAAAAAAGAAGACGAAGAAGAAGAAGGAGGAGGAGGAGGAGGTTAGAAAAAATTTATACTTTTGTGTTATGACTTTTCCTACATTTTACATTTGGTCAGAATATATTTACAAAATCTGGCTTCTCAGTGCCTGCTTTCATTGTGTGTTAGTCATTTGTATGCAAAATGTATGTGATTATTTTTTTCATAATGGTTATCCTATTCTCCCCCCCCCTCCCCCTCACCTCACAAGTCCATTTAAAGGCTTCAAGGACTGAAGAAGGGTAAAGTTCTTTAAAAGTTTCAAATGCATTTAACTCTTTTGGTCCCAGACATGTATTTCCTTAACCCATTACCTCCTACCTAGTGGCTGCTCAAAGGGAAAATTGTGTGGGTCTGGAAAGGTTTAAATAAAACTGAAATGCTACAGAAGAGAGCAAATTAACAGGTGGAGTAGAATGGATTAAAGCTACAGGTGGGTAGGGTGCAGGGTGCTGAGAAAAGCATAACATGCCAGACAACTTCATTAAACGCATGGTGAGTTGCTTGGGACTGAAAAAGTTAATACACTCATTTTCCTTGACATCCACATAATATTTTTTTTTTCAGCAATACTGCTGAGTTTCACCCTTTTGTACATGTAATATTAATATTAAAATACTAACATTAAAAAACTAAATAAACAAATAAATAACAATAGGAACCAAAATTAATTAAGTCCTCAAAAGTATTGAGTGAATTAATCATCAACTCTGACTGAAGTCTGAACATTTTTTAACCATATTCCCCCAAGTTCAAGCCTAATATTTGTTAGCAAAAACGACATACACACAAACACACGCAGGCATGTCTATGCACACACCCACACTGCCCACACCCATACACACACACACACATACAAACATGCACGCACACACACACACACATTATACTGTTCACACCATTCAGAAACTAATCTGGCAATGTCAACATTATCTGCAGGTTCCAACAGTGCATATTTGTTTCAATCCATCTTTATTATCAGAAAGCATAACACTCATTTTGACTCTCCACAGTAAATAATTTTTTTTTCCAACTTTCACAGACAAACATGCAATCACATACACACAAACATACACCTATGCAGACACTACTAAACAATGATTTGGTCATGTTATGATGGAGATAGTGAAATTAATGAATTAAGAGTTCACATCCCTGCACTCTACACATTCTTACACATTCTCCATTTCTTTCTCAGCAGCCAATAAACAGTCGACACCTTTATACCAGCTACAATCTGTTTACATGTCTGCCTATATTTACCCCCTCATTGTTGAATATCTTTCACAACCTTCACTCACCCACCCACCCACCCACACCCCCTACCACTTTTTTAAAAATTAGTCTTATAATAGTGTATGGAATATATGACCATATATTTTATTGTCCACCTTTTCCCAGAGAGCCTCACGATCTTCACTTTACTATAAAAAGCAGCTCATCACCTTGAGTAGTAGCAGCAGCCAACCTGTCTGCCTGCTCACTACCCCATGCACCCAAATATCCTGGACAAAAAATCCCTGACACTCCTGATCTGAGTCTTATTATAGAGATGAAAGAGTGGCTGTCCAAGCAGTTAAGGCTGCTTGGCTCTCATCTGGTAGGCCTTTATTTGAATTCTCGGTTAAGGTGATGGATCTGTTTCTGTTGAGAGGCAAAAATTAAAATCCTGACCTACACACTCTGTAGTGACTAAACCAGCCATGTGGCCTTACATCCTAAAGCTCAGGACCACTCTGTCCTAGGCCATCCTACAAATGTTGTACAGTCAGTAAAGAAAGTCAGTATTTTCTTCTATGATGAAGAAGAAAATCAGATCTTTTGAATTGAAATGCTTCACAAAACTCTTAAAATACCATTGACATAAATAAACAAAATGGGAACCCTTGAGGCCATAGAACCCTTATATATAATAAACAAACAGACAATGTATTGATAAGCACTCATAGAAAGAAGCAGAAAGATAGAAAAATTTACTAGACAATATAAAAATCGTAAGCTATAGTTACAGTGCCAAGTAATTTCATAAACAGATTTGATTAGTCGTTTTCCAGCATGGTAACTATGGCTTTCAATCTGTACGTTGTCTAGGATGTCCTTCTGTCTTTCTACTTCTTTCTACGAGTGCTAATCAATACACTATCTGTCTGTTTATTATAAATTAGAATACCATGGACCAAGAAAAAAGAAAAATGTCGACATCCTGAATGACCTGAAAATCAAGGAGAATTGTCTGGTAAACAACATCCTGTCCTGAAAATTGATGTATTTTAGATATGTCAAGCCACATGGTGGTCTGGAGAGAATGGTGATGAAGGGTGCAGATTCCCTAAAAAAAAAAAAAATCAAGGCAGAGGCCGACCTTCACAAATGTTGATACAGGACATTGAAGAGGAACAGGCTATGAAGGCACACAGGGCTGGAGAATACGCTAGAGAAAGAGCGACTTTCAGGCGTAACATGACAAAAGCAACATTCTGTAAGGTTGTGATGGAGATCTGTCAGACATTGATCAAATAAAACAAATCAGAAAATGCATGAATGGCTTGCTTGGGGGGAAAGTTGAATAGACCCCACAAGAGAATGCATTAAATATAATTTTTCTTAGACATTCCATAGATCATTTTTCATAGACCATGCTATAGATCATCTTTTCTAGATCATGCCACACAACACTGGTTGTAATATGCTCTTCTAGGGGTATGTATTAATTTGCATTGCTTTCAGACGAACAGTGAGTTGAAACGACACAGCATGAACGAATATTGAGTTGCTTGCTTTTATTCGTTAAATCGCCAGTTATCGCACACATACATTCTCGCTGCCTCGTGCTCGTCTTGCTTGGCTGAATCTATCGACCTGGTCGGACTTCTCACACACTACAGGAATTCATCAGCGTCTCTCGAACCATCCATCTATCCTTCACGAACCCTGGTACCAGCATTACGATGTGTGGAAAAACATTCAGTCCTCCTATTGAAATATAACATTCGTTTCACCAATCATTTATTCTTCTCAGGCGTCCACTCATGCGTCCTCTCTCAGTTAGGGCCGAACTTCAACTGTCTTACTCCTGTCTCCCGGTTCATGTCTTCCCTTCACATCTCATGCTTTCCTTGTGTCCCTCACTTCGTTCACCATGAGATACACGATACCCACTTATCCCGTTTTTCTCTTCTCTCATGGGTCCTCCGACCTTTTCCTCCCCATCAGGGACTCTCTGCGATTTCCCCAGGAATTCACAACATTACACTGGTCATTATGTAAATCCACAGCTCTCTGTCTCATATACTGTCAATCATTTGTGACCCAGATATTCTCCCATGTTGTCAATTTAAATTAACATCCTGAAACTTGATTTCAACCACAACTCCTGCTCTCCATCTTTCATTTTATCCTAATATAGTCCAGTTCTCCCCCCTCCCCACCTTTCCCCTATTTGTGTGCCTAATGAATGTTGATTGTCTTCTAAAGTGGGTAAACAGTTTTCTTTATAATTTTATGTCTTTTATTCTTCTTCTAGACACCTTGCTTGAAATATATATATATTTTTTTAGCAGTGCCATACTCATATGTGACCCTAGTCATTGTCACAGTTGCATAATCGTGTTCACAATGGCAGGAACCTGAGACTATGACCAGTATCTGTCTGTTGGCAGCTCTCAAGCTCAACCCACTGTCTACTTTCTGAATTATGTTTGACCAGATAGGCAAATCTTCTTCTCCTTCATCATATTGAGCCCTTTAGGTTTATTACTGCAGATTTCGACCGCCTCCATTCATCTCTCTGGTTGGCTTTCTCATTCCAGCTGGTAACATTATCTCTCCATCGTCTTCTTGGTCTGCCTCGTGATCAACTACCATTCATCTCCCTTGTGTACACAGTTTTGAACTCACTGTCATCTGACGTTTCTCTCAATATGCCCCAGCCCTCTCATGATGCCAATGATCAATGCTGATTTAAACAGATTATGAATTTCATTGCTGCTTCTCACTCTCCACTACACGCTGGTACATAACAACTAAAATAATTACTAATAACCTATAAACATTCAATTACTAGTGCCTGTGCAAAACAGAAGCAATGAAATACTGTTATAAAAAGTGACGCAAGCGTTTGCCTGGCTTGAAACACAAAAATACACCCGCATATGTATACTCAGTGATTCAATGAGTATGATCCGGAGGGTTCAGGCAGGTTCAGTGCGAAGACAATGGCTTGAATCATTACAGAAGTCCACTGTGCGTGGAGTCACCTTTATTTTTGTTCCGGGACACGCAGGCGTCGATGGAAATGAAAGAGCTGACAGGTTGGCTGGATCCGCTATCACTACCGACGGTCGGCCTATGGATCATGCTGATATTATCAATGCCCTCAGAGAAATGGGAAGGATAGAGGACTTTGGTGGCAGTGAATCCACATCACTTGCCAGAATGGCAGACTTGGGAATTAAGATCGGCACAGCAAAAAACGAGACGCACACCGGACACGTCAGAAGACTTGTTAATCAACATAGAACTGGTACTATTAGCCATCGGATGTTGGGGTTCATACTGAGGGGAGGATCTGAGCACCTATGGACATGTCCGGAGTGCAATGACGATAACCCAACTAACTAACTAACTAACTAACTAACTAACTAACTAACTAACTAACTAACTAACTAACTAACTAACTAACTAACTAACTGTTATAAAATTAGAGATGTGAAGTTTTAAGAGAGGATTGCACAGATTCTAATGAAACAAGAGTTGGAGAAAAAGCACTGACATTAGATAGGGCACACGCTGAGAAAAGCTGAGAACAATATAACTAAAATATCTTTACAGTGAAACCCACAGGGGCTTAGAAATAAAGACAGACTCCTTAAAAATGGAGACGGGAACTAGAGAGTGAAGTGAAAGGAGTCTGGGTGAGTTGCATGTGATATAAAAGGATAGGATGTGTAATGAAGGGAATTCCCAGGGATTTCCGAAGGGTTTCCTGAGAGGACGCAGTGGTGGTACAGGCCAGGGATAAACGGATAAAGCAAGTGAAGTGATATTCTCTTGTGACCCTGAACAGTTACAAGACCAAATTTCTCGTGTTGGTTCCGGGGCTCTATTAAAGGGAAACATGAATAGACTCACTGCCCACACAAAAGCATGTCGTAAGAGCTTCCTTCAAAGTCAGAGTGCATCTGCCTGAAAGGCAAGGAAGAGGCAAGGAACCAGCAGTCTGCATACAAATGAGTCAGATCCTATGAAATGGATACACACGCAAAACTCAGGTTATGGAACAGGATTGCAGTCCAAAAGTGGGCGAACGACCAGAACCTTTCATCGGAGTTTACAGGTGGTGAATGCGAAGAAAAAAAGAAGAAGAAGAAGACAAGACCAAATTCTGTGGGAAGGGAACATGGGTTTTGAAGGATGAATGAGACAGAGGCAGTTGGTGTTTGGACAGTAGTGTGAGAGGTTTCAATGAGCTGAGAGGAAGAACTGTTATGAACTCTATGAAGAGCGAATGTTAACAACATTCGAAAGATCCTGAAGGCAAGTTGATATGACTATGAAGGACTGACCCTGACAAGAAGGATGCCCGACTACAAAGTCTTGTCACTTGTGTAATAATTCAAGTTATCGGCATGAGTGTGATGCCTGGAACGAAAGGTAAATACACCTTTTGTTGAGTGTGATGTTTTTCTCCAACAATTTTCGTCAGGGAACCTCAGTACGACTAGTATAACATGAGTAACGACTGGATGGTATGAATGGCAGATCAGCAATAAACCAATCGATATGTACCAGATGGTGTGGCATCCACTCTTGTGCTCAGACTAACATAACAAATGAACAAAGGTCAGATCAGGGTGGCTGTGTGTCTAGATAGAATCTAGCAACAGCAATATTCCAGGATGACTTGGCCTGAGCTGGTTAAGGGCCTTTTCCTCAATGGGAGATAAAGGGCAAAAAAAGAAGATAGATACATCCATTTATATGTTACATCACATACAAATGTATAAATATTGTGTACTACCAAAAGGTGACGCTTGCCTATAGATTGGAAGGTCGTGGGTTCAGAACTGGACCTTTTTCAAAAATGACCATGGCTCCAAGATCCACCCAGCTTTGAGTGGGTACCAGGTAAAAGTCCTGGGAAGTAAAGGCTGCTGGCGTGATGCTGTCCGTTGACCACATCAGCCGCTCTTCTATAAAATATAGGTCTAGCCCTAAATGCCCAATGCGCCTGAAGGAATGGAAAAGGGTCCTTTACTTTACTTTACTTACCATGAGGTAAAATAACAGAGATTGGTCGCTGGGGTGTTCTGACATTCCAAGTGGACAAACTGCCATCTGAATGACTGCACATAAACTGCTTGCCTTCATTGTGCCATGATATAGACCTCAAGGCCTGCAATGTCAACAAATGTTTAAAATTTTACAAATGCTTACATAAACAGCATCTACTAAAATCCCCTGCCTACACTACAGAAGTGCTCATTAAAGACAGGCAGAAATGGCTGCTTTTTAACGTAACTGACACAAACAGTGCTTTCCATGTGGTTTATCACACTCCAAACAGGCAACTGTTGAGAATGGACGAAGCTTTAACAATTAAAATCAACAACCCCCTCCTTTGTAAGCTTTTTAACATTTAAATTTAACACTTATCAATCAATCAGGTGCTGTAATGGATCTCCTACGTGCTCTGTTTCTTGTTTTGGTCGTACATTCTCTTAGACTGCTGTTAATCCATCTCTTGATGATGTCCTCCCACTTGTATTGTTGTCTACCTCTTGTTCTCTTGCCCTCAACTTTTTCTTCAGCATGGTTTTAAGAGTCTTGCATCTATTAATGTGGCTAAAATATTTTAGTTGTCTCTTTTTAAAAATGTATTTCAGTAACTCTCTTTTCACTTGTGGTCGCTCCAGAACCTCTGTATTTGATTGTTTTAAATATGTGATTTTAACATTATACAACTGGTTGAATTGCTCACACAGTTTAGACATATGGCTACTTTTATACTGCTGCAGTCACATAACAGTTAGTGAGCTTGCCTGACAAAGTCAGAACAGTATTAATATAAATACGGGGTGACTGCAGTAAAGCTGATTGCAAGAAATCCTGAATATAACACAAAATGTGAGTAGAAAGTTCAACAGAAAGAACGAAAAAGACGCAGACGAACACAAACGAACGTTTGGACCAAAGTCTTTATCAACGGAATACTGAATACAGCACAAGCTATGACTGTAAAAACTCAACGGCCAAGAAAAAGGAGCCTTAAATATTTTAAATGTTAAATGGCTCTTTTGTCTTGTCCCTTGAGTTTTTCCAGTCATAGTTTGCACTGTATTTAGAATTCTGTTGATAAAGTCTTTGGTCGAAACGTTTGGTTGTGTTCGTCTGAGTCTTTTCAATTTCTTCCATTGAGCTTTCTAGTCACATTTTGTGCTACATTCAGCAGACCAGTATTATACCCCTTGCAAGGACACAAGAATGCAGAAGATTTATTGTTCAAGCATGAATGGAAATTTAGTGACACACCTTACAATTATCTACTGGTAATATGGCAGTGTTGTGTTTTGCACTGATCTTGATAATGATATAAGCATTCAACTGGTCAGAAAGCAGTTGGCAAGCTACAGAACATGAAACTGCCTAGTGAAACTACAAACAGCAAACAAATACTGGGATGGTTTGTGATGTCATGTAAAGGAAATGCAACTAAAATACAACGAACAAATGCTGCATGTTATTGACGTAATGACAATACTCCTTATTTCTCTATCTCTTTTTCTCACACACACATATACACACTGACACAACACCGTGTCTGTGTTTAGCAGTGCCTCCACAACATATGGATCAAAGCTGATGTTACTCTACTTATTCCCCATGAGGCATTTGGACTTCAATTGGGAGGAGGGTCAAGGGGAGGGAATAGACCAATCATAATCATCATCAAGTTCTACTTCTGCTGTTAAGCATTATGGGAAGGAACAGTTTGCAATATATTGCTTGATAGACATCAATGGCTACTGTCATTCCATGTAGATGAAGAAGCTCTTTAATGTCATAAATCCATCTTCTTTTAGGACGGCCTCCTGCTTTCACATCAGATCCTTTCATGCTTAGTGCCTGCATTGGTAGTTGTTCTGGCTGCATTCTTACTGAGTGACCCAACTATATGATTTACTGTTTCTCAATTGATTTGCTGCATGGTATTCTTGAACAGACCAATGCCCTGGTGTTTGTTGATTCTCCAGTGTCAGTGGTAAAGCAACAAATTGTGTTTTGGTCTGTTCTGTTCAGATATTTGAAGATATCTTGTACCGTGTTTGTATTTTTAGTCCACTTCTTTTTTTCTCATGTACAGTTCAACAGAAGTTATCTCTAGATTTTTTAAAAGTTAGATCAAATTACAGTTGCAATGTGTAGTTTCTTAAAAGATGTTGTTACTCGCATGGTACTAATACAATGGTCTATCAAAAAGAAATGAAGTTGTATGCAGAGCAATACTAATTATCATTATCACATCAGCTTATGTTGCTGAAGTGTAGTTTACCATAATAATAAGCATCTGTATACTTTTTGTTTCTACTCCAAGTCCTACAATTATTTGAAGAATTTAACTTTTTGAGTCCCAGGGGGTTTAGCATCAGAGGCCCAAGGGTTAGTCAAGAGAGATGTAAAATCAGTGCATCTTGCGTTTATTGGGTCTCTAGGTAGGAACCAATGAACGTATGAGGTGTTTCTTGAGCCTCAAAGAGTTAAAGGCAACTTGCACACATATTTTGATGACCATCCTAACCAAAGCCCCATCCACATTTACACAAAGTACACGACTAGTACATACCTCCTGGGAGCTGTACCTATATTCAGCAGATTTAGTCTTCAGGTCCCAGAGGACAATGGCTCCAGATTCAAAACCTATGAGGAGCTATTTAGCCAGGAAGGAGAACATAATAAAATTGTAATTTCAGGTGCATGCTTTTCTAGTTGTTTAGCAGCTCTAAGAAATCAAGACAATGGACTAAAATGCCAAGAAGAGCCTTGTCACCAACATAATTATTACTACTTCTTCAGCTTCTTTTGTCATCTCACTGATATCCAACTTGTAGCTCAGTGTCATGGTTTTCTAGAATTATCTTGTGCTTCTCAGATGGCCAGGGTGGTGGATTTGTTCATCTTCTTGCAGGTTTTAATTATGCCATTTATGTGTCTCTTTCTTGGCACTCCCCTTACCTATCTCCAAGATGTTTTGCCATAAAAAAAAAAAAAAAAAAAAAAAAAAAAAATATATATATATATATATATATATATATATATATATATATATATATATATATATATATATATATATATATATATATATATATATATATATATCAAATGCAGTTTGGTCTGGTTGCATTCTCATTCGATGACCAAAAAATGTCATTCTTTGTCTGTCAATATAATTCAGACACAGTCTTATTCCAACTTTTTCTCTTATGTTGGTATTCGTAACCCTGTCCCTTCTTGTAATGTTAATGACCTTACGTATAATGCACATTTCAGATGAAGCTGCTATTATTCTGCAGGTCCACACCTTTGAGGTCCTGCTCCCCTCCACCCCATCTTTATTTAGTGACTGACCAGGATAGATAGTCACATATTATAACCGGTTCTATGTAACATAGAAATATCCTGTTTCTAACCTCTAATGTCAGAAATGTATTGCATTAGATACTTGTCATATACTTTTTCCTTTCTGCTTTCACCATCAAAAGAGGGGTTGGAACATTGTGTTGTTGTTTTCAGCTAAGTTGTGAATCTGCACCTTCTGACCTAACACACAAAATGCCAGCAAACTTTTCAATAGTTACCTGTTGAAACATGCATGTTCAGAGGCGTTGGTCTATCATTACCCCCTCCCCTCCCCCCATTTTTTTCCAGTTGACGTCTTGAAACCCAGATGGAGAGCTTTTCATTTAAAGGATACACTTGTATTATATAGTTTAGCTGGTTTTTACCAGTATTAAAATTCAACAGGAGAAACATCCATGCACAATATTTCACCCCCATTTTGAAATTAAAGATTTAGAAACGTTTTGGGTACTAGGGCAATAACTGATCACAAATAAACTCCACTTGTTTATAATCAAATGATTGAATTTATAATGCTAGCTGGCCTCCTTTTAATATTAACTCAACACACAAAAACTGACTTACTTTACTAGGGTCAGATGGATTATCACTTAAGTGTACCACTGGGCCAGGATGGCTTTTCCTAGACCTGTTGAAAAAAAAAATATATGTAAAGCTTAACAATTAAGAGTAAAAAACAAAAAGCAATCCCAGTTCTGTGGACTTTCAAGAAACATCATAATCATGATAGCCAAGAATAGTATAGACGATATTTCAGTGCAGAACCAAGTTAGAAAAAAAACACACATCAAAAGCACAATAAACTCATCAAGTATTTATTCTGACTAGTTAGACATAATCACTTGTTAAGCTCTCAAAACATATCTTCATGTGCTCAGTGGCTCACGCCAGGTAACATTAAGACAGAATATTTGCCATCATTTCCTGTTAGTTAATATATCTGTATTTACTGTGGGTACTATTGTATGCCAAAAATGTCATAAATACAAATTATTTTAGAAACATAAATTCAACCGAATGACATAATCTCTGTCTTTGTTTAGAGGCTCCATTTCAGATAACAAAGAATAGACCCACTCCCCCCACCCCTCCCCATCAAGCATGTCATAGGAGGCGTGTAATTAGGGATATTACCTCAGTTGAGCTGAGCTGATTCAAGAACTGACACTACAGCAATCAGGGCCTTCCCATAAGCATTCCATCCCCATTTCAGCAGCCAATGCAGAGTTCTAATACAAATGGTACCAGTAACAGTCTGATTATATGCCCATCTTGCTTTACCTTTGCTGTGTATCAGCTGGATCCCCCTGGTCTCTTCCCACTGCAACATTCTCATCAGACTGTAATGATCCACTTGCTCCTCCAAATTGTCACCTGTGCTTCCATACGGCCTTAACCATGTCTGGCTTATTATGCATCAGTTTTCCACCAAGTTGTGCAAAGCCAGCCAGTCTATCTACCTGGTCATTTCCCAAAACACCAACAACAATACAAGTGCTGCTTTTGAACTAATAAACCTGTGGTGAGTTGTCTAGCTCAGCTCAGACAGCTAACATTAGCTAAAGTATTCTACTGCTAGACTTTCACAATACATGTATGTTACAAAGTAACTTGTTTAAGAAAACAGAATGCATGTTTGTTACAAAGTAACGTGTTTAAGAAAACAGAATGAATGAAAAATCGACATCATTGGACTTGGTGCCACTCGTGTTCTATCCCCTTTCTCTGCAGTCAATGAAGTTCCCTACTCATGGTGCCAGTCTGAACATGATTTAAAAAACTGGACAGTTTTTCCCTGAGGGTAGAAAACAGTCCAGACACTCTGCTCACATCCAGCTGAATTATGAAAACAGGAAACAAAGATTAGGATTATCACTAAACTAAACTATGATTAAAACAAACACATACAATTCAATAGCCTTGTTCCAGTTGATAATATAACCAGAGCAGGTGAAAGTCTCCACATTAATGACATGGACATTTCCCCGCTCTGTACCCACATACAGCCAACTGCTTTGGAAAGGAAGATGACACTTTGAGATTCTGTGGAAAGACAATAAAATAAAAACAGTAACATAACTGTTTCCCCATCTTCATTGTATGATAAGCATACCCTCTTCTTCTTTGTTCATTGGCTGTAAGCTCTAGTGGAAAGTCCTGGTTGTTTATCCATCTGAGTTTTGTGGAAAAAATCTGTTTTACTGGCTTGTTTGTGTGCAGTAGTTGTTCCTTGCCACTCAGGCAGACGCACTCTAACTTCAAAGGAAGCTCTCAATTAGTCAACTCCTACGACATGCTTGCTAGGGAGACAGTGGGTCTATTCTTGTTATCCCCACAATGGGGCCCCAGAACCCACACAGGGAGAGCAATGCTATCTACAAGATGGGACAGCCTTTTTTCTTCCTTCCCCCCCCCCCCCCCCTTCCTGCCAGTGGTTTTCAGATGAAAAAGGACACACGACTTTATGAAGTCTGTGTTGTGACAAATGTCTTCCACTGTTCCATGCAGAGTGGTCTCCCCTGGAATACCACTTTACCTTTTTACTTACATGACTACCACTGTTGTGAAAACACATTTCCATGTGTGCACTCCACTGTTGAAAAACGCATTTAATAACAGCTGGAGTTATGCTTGTCATTGTGTTGGTGACATGTTTATGTTTCCTGTGTTTGAAAACTTATGGGACACTTTGGCATAATGTATAAACAATATTCGGTGTTTGCTTTGAAGTTATAATGCATCTGCTCAAATGGCGAGGAACAACCAGCTACACACAAATAAGCCAGTAAAATGGATGTACATGAAAAACTCAGCCCCTGTCACAAAGGGGAAGTCCAAATGGATGAACAAGGGCTTTCCACTGGAGCTTACAGCCAGTGAACAAATAAGTAGAAAACATTACTTGAAGAATGTAGCCAACTATGAAGAAATGTAATCTATAAGGGGGGGGGGGGGGGGGGGGGGGGGGTGGGGGGGGGGGGGGGGGAGTCAACCAGCCAGGATGATGAAGACGTTTGCTAGAAGATGACATGATGAGGAGAAAGCTATCAGGTATCTACACAGCTGATGTACCTTCTTTCACCTAGAAGAATAAAATATTAAAACTATGCAAGAACTTGGATAGACAGCCACAAGTAGTAGCAGAAATGAAATGTAACCATTTTTTTGGGGGGGGGGGGGGGAAGGAGGGATTATACAAAACAAGATAAAATAAAGATAGTAACAAGTTTAATCAGGCTAAACTGCTTCTCTTTGGTCAGTCAGAGGAAAGTGTCTTTGAGAATGAAGATGCTGTCCTATAGAAGGAGAAAAAGCACTTATAAAGTGGGAAGCAATCAGTTCTTGAATAATAAAAACAATTACAACTGCAATAATAATAATAATCATGGTAAAAACTTCTTTTTTTTCTTTAAAGCAAACAAGAATGTGACTAAGTGTCAAACATCTCTTTTTATTTTTCCTTAAAAACAAAACAAAGAAAGGTGCCAATACTGACCAAAAGTGTCACCATAAAATGTCTATTACAGTAGCACTGAAAGAAAAAGAATGCCTTAAAACACTGTGCACCATTGCACACAGCCCAAAAGAAAAACACCCAGTGTTAGGTTTTAACAATGGATAATGCTGAATCAGTTCATCCAGTACTTCCTTTACTTTACTATTCTATTGAGTGGTTATTTTAAGTAATAAGTGTTGGGGTCTGACTATTTAAAATAACAATACCATGGAAAGAAAGAGTTATTAAAAATAATAACAGGAACAGAGAGGGTCAGGGAACACTAAGTTCAGAGAAGTATTATATCTTGTTAGTTAAAGTCAACACATGCATGGTGAAATGTTTGATACTGGATATAAGTTAGAAACAAATAAGGTACTTTCTTATTAAACACAAACAGGCAAATATTTCAGGGGGTTGTAGGTTAAGTGTATAGTTTTGGTTAGAGTTAGGGCCCAGTTTAGGGTTAGGGTTAGGTAAACGCGCAAAAACCTTGGCCTTGGAAGAAATGTGCTAAAGCTCAGAAAACATAGAAAACCCTCTCCTACTATTCTCTCAAATACTGGACTGTCCCGTGAAGTCATTTTTGGTCCGCTAAAAAGAAAGCACTGAAAATAATATAAAAACAGCCTATGTAAACACAGCAGAGAATACAAAGAAAATCCCCACGCCACCCCACAAACACTCCCATGATATAAATGGAGGAATAGAAGAAGTATACACAGCTTACTTTTCCCTTTGAAACTTGAGAGAGTGCACAATCTTGGGCTGCTTCTGTCTGAAGTCCCACAGATGTAGGTGATCATCACTTCTTACTGTCACTAACGTACCCTGGGGACCAATCAACGGTACAAAAGTAAAGAGCCTTTTTACACTGGTGGTATATCAGTCAAATGATGTCTAATATATACCCAGTTTAGGCAAGGTCAGTTTTGAATGCTGAATTAAAACTCGACATCACGGCATTCGAGACACTCTCATAAGCGCTCCACCCTCATCTTCATCAGCAAGTTCCAATTGCAGTGGCAGCAGTAACTATCTGTTTGTATTTCTATCTCGTCTTTTTCTTGAGTGTTGAGCGTCGGCCGGTAACTCCTCGCAGCGTCATTTTCTTGAGACTGTAATGATCTGTTTGGGGTCAATTTTGGAAAAAAAATATCTAAATGTGGATTCGAACCCAAGACTTTCCAGCCAGCAGGCAAGTGTATAGTCAGTGCTCTACCACGTCACTGGTGGAATTACTTTTGGTATGGAAAGCATCTCTCCTGGTGATTGCTAAAACTTTGTTTAGCGCCCCTTGTAAAATGTGTTCCGGATAGAAAGGAGCACGGAAGAAATCAAGAAGTTCAAATGATTTATCAAAAAGGTCAGAATCACCAGAGTACAACCTACGCAATCGAAGGAGCTGTGAATACGGAATAGAATTTTTACACGGTAGTGGGTGAGAAGACGTATAGAGGAGATAACTGTGAGAAACCGTGGGTTTGTACACCAAGATTATCTTTAGTGAGAAACCTAGATTAGTTAATAGACGAGACGGCAACCTTAAAGACATACTTGTCCGAAGCCGACTCCCACCGATCCACACAGCACTTCCTTTTGGGACTACTGAATGCTTACGCAGCACGTGCAAAACATGTTCTTTCGTTTTCCAGACTTCTTCGGTCAGTTTTCTTAATGGTTCTTTCCAAATTAGGGAACCTTTTACTTGCGAATCCCGAAACGTAATTTATGCATTTATCTGCAAACGATGCAGCAAGGCATACATTGGGTAAACTGGCAGGAAGCTAGCTGATCGTTTCCGATATTAACAAAAAAACACTTAAACCAATCCCTCTCCATTTTAATAGCTCTGACCACAGAGGTAAAGATGATATATCTGTCACATCATTAAAATCTTGCTCTGGTGATCATACTATGCGCCTCGCTTTAGAAAATCGCCTCATCCACAGCCTTGGTGTTCTTAGTCCAAGTGGTATCAGTATCCAACATACCTTTATCTAAATAGTTCTACTCTTATGACATTTTAAATGTAAATTATTTTATTTCCTTCTCTTTTATTTTATTTCATATTATTACTTTATTCTATTCCTTATCAGTCAGAATCATTTATATGTCATTAACTTTTGTATTTCTTTTATTCCCAGTATTATATTATATATTAACAATACTACTGTTTATTATTTTTTGTAAAAAACAGTGATCCTCTTGGGCGGGAGGCCTGAGCACAGACAGATAGATCATTGCTAAAACTGCCAATTTCTGCCTTTATTATTCCACTTTTGCGATGTAGGCAGGGGGGTCTTTGAGCCTGGGGATTTACAGCCGCATGGTTAGTGCTGTGGCCACGACTGTCCAGATGAGGATTTTATTTTGCCCCTGACAGAAAAAAAATGACCAGCCTTACCAAAGATCCAACCAAATTAGCAGGTCACCCGCACGCCACTTTCTAGGCCTCTGCGGGTCAGATCTGATCCGTGGACCGCCGCCAACTCATTAGCATAGCACTGAAAGTTTGCGGTTCGTCCGGGATATGCCGGCAGGTGAGAGAGGGCGTGTGACGGGAGTCGACATGACTACCATATTCAAACCAAAACAGAGCAAATCAATTATAATGGTAATGTATAAGTATTCACTGAACTTACCTCGTTGACTAGAAATATGATCTGGGTGATGGCTACCTCAGTATCATGGCTGCAAAAACAGTCCACGCCAGGCTGACCTATTCTATGTTAATGTTAAGGTCAGTTGCTCAACAGGGACGGATGTTCCCAACCTTGAATTACAATACAATATTTCATTATGTATAATTTTGTCATATCAAGCGCCACGACGGATTGGAAAAGATAATAGTAGAAAATAGGTATCATGAAGGAGGGGCAGGGGCCGACCAACACGAAGATGTACACATGATATAAGTGACTCCTTGAGTATAAAAGTACATGAGGCGGGAGAGCTGGCGAGCGACGGAGTTTCTTTCAGGCAGACCGTGAGGAGTGACATTCTGCAAAGGACCTGCTATATGATGATGCTAATTTTGTATGCTATGAATTATATGTTTCTTCGTGTGGGTTCTAGGGGCCCTTTATGAGAAAAAAAAAGGGGGGGGGGGGTGGCCTCTGCCTTTCAGCAAGCATGGCATAAGAGTTAATTAAGAAGGGATTTTTTGGAAGACAAAGTTTCAGCAAGATTTGAACAATGGATCAACACCATGGCACAAGAGTAGTAACCTATAAGTGCTCCGTTCTACTTCTACATCAAGCTTCAGTCCGAAAAATCTCAGTACAGTGCACGAATTCTGTAGCACCGGCGAGGATCCTTAAATACTTTAGGTAGTTTTTCAACTCCAAATTTTGCCCGGGCAGCGCCATTAGGCTACTCTTTTCGATTTCTAACTGCCAATGTATTTTTTACGTGCACAACAATACACACGGGCGTCCGATCCTACTACCCAGAGATCAGGAGAAATTACTAAAGTCCATATGAAAAAAATCCCAGCCTGAACCTGGGACCTCCAGCACTCGAGGCGAACGCCATGCCTCGAGAACACTCAGCCCCCACCCCCACCCCCCACAAATCAGAGTGAATTCCTGAGAGGCAAGAAATTAGTAGTCTGCGTACAAATATGTCAGATCTGTAAAATGGTTGTGCTCGCAAAACTCAAGTTTTGGAACACGACTAAAGTCCAGAAGTGAACTAACAACCAGAACTTCCCACCAGAGTTTACAGCCTGTGAACGCGAAAAAGAAGAAGAATTAAATGACGTTATATATGAATCACGTGCATAGCCTAACCAACGAAAGAAAAACGGAGAAAAACAACTAAACTAAAAAAAAAATGAAACCGTATCGTCTGCGTTGCTTTATTTGGCAAATGATGAGGATGAATGTTTTAAAAAAAAGGGTATCTGAAAATTGCGACAGTAAAGTATCTCCGGCTGCAGTCAAGACAGCACCAGCATTGCGTGACCAAATGGCTAACCTCACAACCGATTTAAATCAATGTCTACAACACTATTCAATAAAAGCCTGCGACTGACATTTCCCCTCATTACAGATAGGACAACCAAATTCACCCTGCGTTATGGCAACCCGTCCTTGACACGGCTAATGACACAGAATCTGACACACTGACAGCTGGCGGTCTCCCAGTGTGATAGACGATCAGACAGACAAACAGCATCACGCAGGCAGAAAATAGGGGTCTATTCCACTGACGACCCCGCCCCCCCCCCCACCCCCACCCTCACCACCACCACCAATCCCCCTAATTCTTTTCGATTATAAAAATCAGAATTTTCGTTATTATTATACAAATAGACATGTCTGGATTATAATAATGACAGACAAAGAATGCCACTTAGTGAAAATGCAGCCAGACTAAACTGCATGTTCTAGTGGGAAGAAGGAAAAGAAAAACAAGGGATAGGTAGATGGGGGAAAAAGAAATATGGCTAGGACAACTTGAATCAAGCAAATGAATTACAGTCTTCACGTTGAACATCAGTTTATTTTACTGAACACAAAGCTAACGCTTCACAGATAACGCGCTTACCAGGCTCTTCTATAGACTACGCGAACCTGTCAGATTGTTCCCATAAGTGCAGCTAACCAATTATATTGTAAATGGCTTTTGGCGTCCTGCCACATTTATTTGAGACTTTTTACAGCAGAACAGAGGAAGGAAGAAGACGAGAGGAAGACCAAGAAAGATATTAATAAAGGATGTAGTTGAAATCTTCCTGATATGCCTGCCAAAGCAGATCTAACATGGATACCAAAGGAAAAGAGAAAAAAAAAAGGGGGCGCCAGAAAGAACATGGAGACGGATAATAGAAAGTGACTTGAGTGCGGTATCTCTGACATGGAAAACTGCACTGAAGATTGCATTGGACAGGAAAGCATGGAAAGTCCTCTCTGAAGCCTTATTGCCACTAGGCATAGAGAACTGATGATGATGATGATGTTGCTGAAACCTGCAAAAAGACGACCAAATCCATCACTCAAACTACCCGAAAACACACGACAAATAAAGAAAACCACGACAATGGGCAACAACTTGGTATCCGTGAGACAAAAGAGGAAGAAGAAGAATCAGCAGGTTAACAGACTCGTGAGGAATTATGTAGAAGCTGCATGGATTTGGCTTAATTGAAGAATCATGCATAGGATTAGTGTCAACACCGGTGACGCATCTCGAGTGTGATGCTAACAAAATATTTGTACAGACCGGTCGGCACTCAGTGGGTGATGGGTTAACATCAAGTCGACAGCCTTTACTTCCCAGAAAACTATCAGATACCGACTTTATGTTGGGTAGACTTGGGAACCAATCTGATTATGTGCATATTCAAACCCCATAGAACAGACATATCATTCACACACTGAAAGAATAATTCAATGACGAGTGAGCAGAGATTCTGGGATATTAAACACAGAGGGAAGGGGGAGAGACTGATTTTAAATATTTAATCAGGTTGCAATGGTGCCGTTAGCATATCCACTCTTAGCATATCAGACTTTCTTGTATTCCGACTGCTGGTTCCTCGCCACTAAGGTAGATAGGCTTCAACTTCGGGGGAAATTCCCAGTCGCCTCTTACGACATTATTTTTTAGCAGGGGCGGTGGGTCTACTCCTTTTCCCTAGTAAAATCGGGCCTCGGAACCCATACGGGGAAAATAGAATTTAAGAAGCACTATTATCACTATTTATGGATGCGAGAGTTGGAAATCAACGAAAACTCTAGACACAAAATTAGACAGTTTTGAAAATAAATGCCTTAGAAGAATACTAAATTTCAAATGGTCAGATTTCCGAACCAATACACAAATAAGGCAAGAATCCAGGCAAGAGTATGTGTCTAATTTTATACGAAAACGCCGCTGGAACTAAGTCGGCCACGTCCTTAGAATGGATAAATCAAGACTTCCTTACCAAGCCCTCATTTGGACACCAAAGGGAAAAAGATCTCGTGGAAGACCAAGGGAAACCCTACGTAGAACTATCATCAGGGAAGGCTCGCTCATGGGTCACTCAAACATCCAAGACCTACAACGGATTGCAACGGACCGCCGTGCATGGAGAGTCACGACCTCTGCCCTATGTGCCGCACTCGACACAAGAGGAAAGACTAACTAATTATCACTAAGAATCTAACCAGAAAATGGTCGCAGTTATAACCAAACACCTTTTCAAGCTGGCTGAACAATATGGAAATTGCGATTTCCGTGACCACCGACCGACCAGATAGTTTTCTTCTTGTCGACATCCACATCGACACATACCACAAACACTGGTCAGGTGGCAATACTTCCACGTGCATCCCCAGCTTGTATACGTGGAGCTGTCAACAAACGGGCCAAAACCGGCTACAGGACTGCTTCCGGCATGTTTAAGAATGGCTCCGTGCAATCCTTTTCGTTTCCGCGTCAGAATGTCACTTCACTGTCGTCTTCTATATTTTTTTTCTCCGTGGCGCAAGTCAGATTTCTAAATCGTTTCTTTTGTAGAAGCGTTTAAATAAAACTAGATAAAGAAGTAAAAGGGGAAGGATGGGGAGGAGAGAAAAGGAGAGGTAACAGACACTACAGGCGTATTAGGTATTTAGGGCAAGACCTATATTTCATAGTCCAAACGCAAATTGGTGGGTGATGTGGTCAGCATCACACCGTCTGCATTTACTTTCCATGACTGTACCTGCTACGCACTCAAGGCTGGGTCGACCTGGGAGCCAACTTCATTTTTTGCGGGGTAAAAAGTTCGGCATTTGTCAGGACCCGAATCCGCAGTCGAGCGTCTAGCCCCTAGACCACGGCGGCTTCAGGAAGAGGAAAATAGCAGAGGAGCGTGGAAAGGAGGTGGATGATTAGAAGAGAGGGGAGGGGTGGAAGAGGAGAAGAATAAGTAGAACAATGATGATGAAGATAAAAATGATAATAATAAAAATATTCATAATAAAGACTACTGGAGCTTTATGAATAATAAGCCTATTTTTTCTTGGCCGTCTGTGGCTTGATGAAGGTGATGCTGTAGTGTACACGTACGGATCAGTAATTCGGGGAAGGCGAAGTGCGAGGGCATTCACACTGAGCTCAGAAGAGAAAACCTTAAGGGAGATGAATGTCGCCTTTGATGTTACGACTAGCAGCCTTCCAATGGAAACGATGGCTGTAACAGCGGCACTTAATGGCTGATACTTAAGAGTTCACACAGGCATGCATACTTATTGACTCAGTGAATATGCTTAAGAGGAAAATTCAGATTGTATTCAGACAAGATTAGACTGGAAGTAGGCTGGATGTTCTTTTGGAGATGCGAGATACCGCCTAGACTTTTGCGAGCCAACATCTCAACACTAAAACTACTTCAAAGTGTCCTTAAGTTCATTATAGAACAACCCCCCCCCCCACCCCCCCACCCCCCAAAAAAAGACACGTGACACCAGAATTATGTGACACCAGCTGACCCACACACTCACACACAAATACATACACTTATATACATTACACTTACAAACATGCATATCCACATATAGGTTAGGTTAGTTGCGTATTTTTACAGGCAAATTTACGTCCAGTAGTTTGCCACTGTTTGCTGGACGGTCGGCTTTCTTGAAACCACCGTCGAAACCAACGCAAGGCACATGGTCCGCAGCTGGGATCGAACCCGGCATCCCGGCATTACGAAGAGTTCGCATCGACTCAGCCACAGAGCCGA